ATTTTCAAAGGATCATTTTGTGTAAATAGCTTTTAACAAGTCAATGCCAAAGAACATTCCAGAACTGTAGGTTTGTACAGGAAAATTGTTATGAAACATAATATTAAAAATGTTTTCTGTGGTTTTTTTCTTCAGTAAAAGTTAGCTATCCTGGAGTTAGAAATGAAAGCCTGAGATATGAATCATTTGTGTCTGATTTGTTGGTTCTCCGAGAAGGATCGATAGGACACTCATTAAATATGTGTTAATTTTACATTTTAGGGCACCTACAGGAAATACCTTTCTTACTACATAGTTCAGCTTTGTGAACAAAGGAGATATTGTCTTTTTCTGAAGCATCAGAGAGTGACCACAACTGCAGATGACATTTTGAGTGGGATAAGATGTCTTAGTGTCATTTTGGGTTCCCTAAACTTGGGGTCTGACCATCTTAATATAGTCACATTTAAGAATAAAAGGTTACAATAACAAAAAGCTATTTGAATATATACACTACCAGAAAAACTTTTAAATCTATAGCTTTTCACAGTAAATAGTAAATGATACAAATTTTGAAACTCCTCAAATGAATTATAGACTTACTACTTCTCCTGCTTCTTCATTTAAATTTCTGGTTTGCATATCATATTTCAAAAAACATGGTATAGCTTTCCTCAGACCATATGTATATATCATGAGTGTATTTCCAGATGCAGAAAACTGTTAACTTGTTGACCATACTCTGATGATTCATAGCTCTTTCTATGGAAAATATTTTTTTATTGCTATAGTTTTGGCACTAGCCTAATTAGCAGAAACTATCAACTTAAACTGAGACCTTTCTCCTGTAGTAGGATGTGGCCTTGTTTCTATTTGTATCAAGTTTGTTATTTTGCAGTTATCTGCATTTGACATTTACCAACAGTGGTGCAACATCTCTTGCTTTTCAGTGTGGTGTGCCAGAGGATTGTTATGCATCTGATCCTAGTCAGAAAGCATGGTTTCCAATGAAACTGTGTTGCACAATGTTATCTTATGAGAAGGAGACAGTTAAAACAAAGAAGCACAATATTAATGTACTGTATCTGAACTTACTGTTCGTTCTTTGTTTACATTTCTTTCCATGGAATTTATATTCTTATTTGAAAACCTTAATGTCACTGCCATGGAGATTTCTCCATTTTACCAGTGAAGATTATGTGGGATCCTTATTTTATGATGTATTTCTTTTGAGTATTATTACTGTTTGGAATGAAAAAAAATTAAAATAATGTTTCCTGTCTTTTGACTAGTTCTTGAGCATATGGAATGCTTTGTAGTGAAGTTTAATATGAAAATTAATGAAATGAGCTGAAATATACTACTGATTATATCTTTGAAAGTGTTTGAACCTTTAGAACATTATGTGCCTAATCAGAAAGCCTGAAGTCTTTAGTAATTCTGTTTTATAATGCCTCCCTGCTCTTGCACATGATTGACATGCTTCAGTAATGGGAGCAAAAAGCTAACAAACAGAGCCAGGACTAGAGTCAAAGGTTGGTAATTTTAGCTCTGTCCTGACTGCCATGACCTCACCATGAAAAGAATGAGACACCGCTTCTAGAAACTTAATACAAAAACACTGTGAAAGGGAACAAAACAAGGGCCAAATTTATGTTTAGATTATCTGCCTGTAAACAAGCGATATTTCTCAGTGACAAGTCTGTGAGCAAAGCAAAATTCCTGTTGGATGCTGGGGGTTTGCTGGGCAAGGTAACCCCTTTTCCACAGTTTGGCAGGACTCACGCCAGATTTCTGCCAGCCAGTTCTGGCCGTAAGGGTTCATTTGGGTTGTGCCTCTCTGTTCCCCTCAGCCCTGTTCACAGAGCTGAACTGAGACATTGACACAGTTTCTGTGTGCGTGGTCTAGGGCTGGGTTCAGCTTCTTGTGCTCTACCCACAACATGTACAGTTTGTGCTGGATCAAACACAGTCTGGCCATAATTATCAAATATTTTAGATTTAGAAGGTCTTAGGGAACATAAACCCAAAGTAAACACATGTAGAGAAGCGAGAAATGGCTTTTACAGCCAGATGGTGACAGAATATTTTGTGGTAGCTGAAGCCTTGTTTTCCTTGTAAATGTTGAGAGGAAAGAACAATGTATACTGTTCTTAATCCTGTATTAATTGGAAATATTGAATAGAAAAAGAGCTAGTGGTCCCTCTTCTGGAAATATTTTAGCTTGGCCTGTGGTGTATTACCATACCCTTCAGTTTTGTTTTGTACAATTTCTAACCTAACGTCCTCTTGAACTGAGCGATAAAGTTACTTAGGGTGAAAACCTATTAAAAGTGAACTGTGTAGATTTTATAAGGAAAACTTCAAGGTCAAAAATTAACACAATGCAAGCGCAAAGTTAAAGATGATATGAACATAATCTGGTTTTGGCAAAAAGGACTTGATATTTTAAAACATTTCTTTCAAAATTGTTAACCTTTCCTAGCAAAGAGGGAGTTTTTATGCTTCCCTTGTAATAACTGATAGAGTCCAAACCTTTTAAAAAAATATGCAAGGAAGAAAGCATACAAAGGAACTAACTGAGATGAGTTCTCTGTGCATTGTGTAGTTGTTCTGCAGTGTGACTAGGAGGTTTTGGAAATAGGAACGTGTTCGGATGAAAATGTTCTATATTTGTAATTCTCTGGTTAAGTGTTAGGGTATTTCCTTCATTTAATGAGTGAGGATCTTAAACATACAGAATTTTGCAGATCATCTTAACCAGAGTTTAGAGACTTCTTTCAATAGTGCTTCTAAAGTACATACCTGGCTCAACATTCAGTGCTGAATTTTGTATATTTCCCTTACAACTGTCCACTCAGAAAGGTCACTTCATTTCAGTTATCTTGTTATAATTAAAGTGTAGCTGCACTTATACTGGTTTTGCTATTTTTGGTATTTTTGGAGAGGAATATAAATTAGCCTTGAATAATGCTTTTTTGTAAAATTGGAATATCTGTGTGAGTGGAACTCTACTAGGTAGTTAATTACAAAGTTTTTGTTAGTTTTTGTTCATGAAATGGTTATAATGGAAGAGCTTTTCAGTTTTGAACAAGCCTTAAAAAGCTCTTTCTCCTTTTCTTTCTCTCTTTTTTTCCCCATGCTCACTTTTGTCTGGATAGGCTCATGCAGTTTTCTTCTGTGCTGTTTTTATTCACCTCAGGCACACCCTTCTGTGTTGCTCTTGGGTCAGAATCTTCTTTTACATCTATTGATCATGTGAACATGGATGTAGAGCTATAATTTCTTTTCAAAGACCTTCCTGGTTCATGATAATGGTGTGCTAAGAGAAAAAAGCAGAAGTGATGATCAGTAGATATGCTAATTAAAAGGCAAAAGAGCAATGAAGTCCCTTATTGTTTAAAAGAAGGCATCAATGTTTTAAAACAGACATGTTTTAAAATATCTTCTCTCCTCTCCAAGTCACAACTGATGGTGCTGCTTAGCTGAGTGCAGTGTGGATGAAGATGATCTGTGTAAGATCCATCTCGGCAAAATCTTCACCGTGATGTTTTCCTAAGAACTGGTGAAATGCGAGGCCTTGTCTGCTTCACAGGGAACTTGACACTTCTGGCCTTTTGGCATTTTATTGCCCCACCATGTGCTCTGTCACAGACTCAAATCCAGATTCAAGAAGAGAGCTCTTGAATCAAAATGTTCCAAATTGCCACTGAAAGCCTAAACCCAAAGATGCTCTTTGGCCCTTTCCATATTATTCAGACACCATACACCAGTGCTTCAAGTAAAAAATGCTTTCTGGAGCAGTCAGGAAAGTCTGGTGCGAACAGTGAATCCTACATATTTAATTTTCTTTGGAGATTTCAAATGTACACAGAAGGCAACTCCATTTCATTGATGTGAACCACCTCTGTCCCAGACCACGTGTGGTCATTCTCCCAATACACACGTGTACACACTAGCTGAGATTGGTCACTCAGGTTGAAGGTGGACTTCAGAAAGGCACCTTGTGTGTTACACAAGCCAGTCCTGTCTTCCCTACTGCACAACATGGTATTCACCAAGATTTATGGAGAAACTCTGCCAGGCAATTTCTCCTACTCTTAGTTTCTAGGAGAAAAAACTGTGAAATGACAGCAGAGGCTGCTGGTCTGAAACAGTCTGAGGAGTCTCTCTTTCTGCTGACTTGTAAGAAGTCAATGCAGACTTAGGTATCTAAAGTTGAACAGCAACCAAAGCTGCTTTGTGGGAATGTTTCTGTTAAGAGAGAATTTCTTGACATATTCTGAGACTAAGAAGAAGATGGGTGCTGTCCTCTATAGCTAAGCAATGAAGGTAACTAGTAAGTCTGTGAAGTTAAATCCTAATCAATTCAGTTCATTCTCCATCTCAACATGAAAGTCAAATACTTTCTGTTTCTGGACTGACAGCTTTACATTAAAAAAAAAAAAAATTAAGGATTAAAAAACAGAGGCACCCAAAGACAACAAACTCTGTAATATTTTTTTGTTTAAGAAATTAGAAGAAAGCAGACTGAAGGGGCTCCATCCAAACCAAAATTATAGGTTTTGAACTCTTTGTAAGAAATAACCATCTGACTGCCTGGAGCCCTGGCAGTCTCAAACCCCTCTTTGTGAGGGTGGGGGTGAAATGGTGCTACCTCCTCCTGTGAGGACAGGCTATTAAAAAAGAGTTTGGAACCACTGATGGTGACAACCTGGAAACATGGTAGGTGGTGCCGTAGATTAGATTGTATCTGTGACCCGTTTGTTTCTGCCAGTGATCAAGACTCAGAAGAAAGTGTGAGAGTTTTGATGAGAGACAATAGACGAAAAAACCTTCCACAGTTCTTCCTGGTCCTAATTGTACAGTAGTTGACTTATGCTCTAGGTTTTCGTAAATGAAGGTAGGTTTTTTCCTGCTCTTAATAAAATTGTACATGTTTCCTCATTAAAGTAAAAAAAAAAAAATGCAGAACAGTCTTATCTTCATATAGTGAAGTAATTCCATTTAACTTTCTATAGGACTGGCCTTTGCTGTTCTGTCTTCGGTCCATCCAGTTTTTGGTTTATATGGCTCTTTCTTCCCTGTCATTATTTATGCCATATTTGGAATGGGACGTCATGTTGCGACAGGTAAGTGTCTATTTGCTAAAAATATTTTCAGAAATAAGGAATTGGAAACTGAACATTTATTTGGTTTGTTATAAGATCAGTGGAAGGAAAATTATCTAAGACTAAACAGAAATAAGCTGGTTTTGTGCTTCTTTTACAACTATTTTTTGCCAGTTTAAATACTTTAAAGAGCCTCATTAAGAATATATTGGAGTTACTCCTGCCATTATAATTTAATACTGCATTGACACTTCCTTCGTAAATGTAGTTTACTAAGGGCTTTTGTATTTTAACTCTACTTTAGAAATCTGCCTCAGGCTAAGTTTTTAACAAAGGGCTCAGCCAACAAGATATATGGAAACAGGAATGAAAAAATCTCGACTGCTTCTTAAACCACAGAAAACACACATTACTTCTCACCTGTCTGGAATACAAACCCTGCCTTTCTCAGAAAAAAAGCTTTTCGTGCCTGTTACCTGCTATTGTGTTAAAGCTAGAGATTCTCCCAATGAGTTCAGTACAGCTCCTGTCCACTTGCAGAGTAATTAGGTAGGCAGCAAAAGGTGCTCCCTGCCTACTATGCTAGTAGTTACTACTTTACTCTCAGCAGAGCCAGCAGCAACTGCAAGAGTTGAATGACTTTGATCTCCTAATAGGTTGGCGAATGCTCTGTTTCTGACTCCAAAGAAACCAAATTATAGCTGGAAGTTGGAAATAATACTCATGAGGTTGAACCACAAATTCTTTGGTGTGCAGAAGTGGGCACTTGGTGGCCCCTGAAGTTTGCAGGAAGGATGAGACAGGCCCAGTAGTAAAGCACGGTAGGAAGGACCGGGTAAAGGGAAGCAGCTTCTGTGGTTGTCAGAAGATTTAAGCAGGGAGGAGGCATGTTCTCCTTGTGGAGGAAAAAAACTCGAGAAAAGAGAAAAGATGATTCTGAGTAATCACACACAAAATGAACTCTGCAGAATCTGATTGCTCATGTGTATGCACTCAAGTGTATGCAATGTTTTAGTAAGAAGTTAGCCACATACTTTGAGCACCTTTTTTCTTCAAAAATATTCAGTTAAATTATTTAAAATTGCTGATCAGCTATAAATTGTCACAGAGCAAAAGGAAGACTGAAAGTTTGTTTTCCCTAGGGGCACAGAAAGTATCTGAGCCTTTTGATGTCTGAGAAGGTTCTGTGGATGCTGTTAGTGATCTGATGCTGTAGTGAGTGATGGAATGTACTCAGCTCAAGTAAGAGAGAGAAGCGTTCAAAAACAAAAAAGTGAAAATTTAGAATTTGGAAAATAATTCTGATTCTTAAGTAGAGATAGATTAGTATACTTATTAAAACATGAAAATATATTAAAAAGCTGTTTCAAAACTGAGTAGTTTAGCAGTGTATTGTCAGCAGTTCGTTGGTGTAAGATTATTAGGAAGACAAGAATCTGTCATAGGATCACATGTTGGAAAGTAGATAAATAAGTATCTGGCTGACATAATTCTAGTAATGAAAACAGATGATAGAATGGGTAAGTACAAGCTGTTAAGTCTGTTTTATGCTTGGGAGGTAATACCGTTCAGAGAATGATTTGCTGAGTCCCACAGCTCCATAGCTGTGGATTCCTGCACAGTCCTTGGTGTGGAAACCTGGTCCTTTCACAGGTGTATATTCCAGAATTTAATCTTAAGGAAAAAAGGCAACAAAACTGTTCTTTTGCAGTCATGAAGTTTTTTTTATTTTAATAAATGTCTGTGACACATGCTGTTGATCCTTTCAGTAGAAATGTCTCATGCATTCATCCCACCAGCCTCGATTAAGGTGTTGTGGTGTGCAGGCTGAACTGGAGCTATACTGCCTGCCTCAGATCCCCAAATGCTCTGTAATTCCTCAGGTACATTGGTGATGATCTCTTCACCTACCAGCATTTTCTGTAAGATCAGCAGGGCTCTCCATATGTATACAGACTATGAAGGTGCCCTTTGTTAGCAAAGTCAGTCATGTTCATATGAAAAGGAAAATTCATCAATGGCCCAGTTCTGTCAACTTTTACTCACTTGAAATGTCTCTTCTGTGAGATAGTTGTTCTACTTTAAAAGATCACTCACCTGAGCAACTGACCCCTACACCTTTTTCTTGACTGTTTTTGGTATAATTGGCACATCCTCTGAGACAGTTTAATCTGTCATAATACCACATATAGGTCTTTGATATCAGGTAGAATTTTATGACAACTGTTATTAAATCCAATTTTATGTAAACCTTTTTTTTTTAAAAATGAAAAAAGTAAAAAGGAGAGAACAGGTTTAAAAGAAAAAAGAGCAATCTGAAAAGCAAAATACCTACAAGTATCCTGAGTGTTGCTTGAAAAAAATTTATTATAGGCCCAGGTAAAATGTGTATCATGATTCAAAAAAGAAAATGTCATCAAAAAAACCCCTCATGGCTCAATGGGAAAATTAAGGAGACTGTCACAGGGAAGAGCTTGGCACTTGAAAACTGGAAAGCTTGGCCAAATGAAGTGAGCGGGAAAGCCATGAAATGTGGCAGGTCAAGCACATGCAGGAAGTTTAGAAGGCTAAAAGAAGGAATTTGAAGAATGCCATGGAGAGGATGATCAAACTGGTAGTTAAAGGTTCTTTAAATACATTAAAATGAGGACTCCAGGAAGGAAACTGGTGGGACACCTTTCTGACAAAGGTGTGACAAGGCCACAGGATTGTTAAGTTATCAGTGTAATTTCACTGTCAGAGGAGCTCTGGAGGGAACCTTGGGAACTGCAGACTTGTCTATAATAAAAATAAGAATACTAAAAGATATGTATAATCAAAGTCTGTTGGAGAGGAGTTAATATGACTCCTGTAAAGGAAAATCCTACCTCACTAACTTCCTAGAGTACTGTATCAGTGTCAGTAAGCACATGGAAAAAGGAAATACTTTGAATATAAGATATGAGAATATTCAAACAGCTACTGATAAGGTTCCACACCAAAGGTTACTAAAGAAGTCAAGTTGCCCTTGTGATAGGAGAAAAGTCCTTTTATTAATTATTAGCAGGTTAAAGGATAAGAAGCAAAAGGTAGGACTTACTTGATGGTCATTTTTCAGGGTGGAGGCGACCCTGGTAGGTTCCCAAGGAATTCATGCTGGGAGGTTTACTCTATGAAGGCCAAGGTGAAGGTAGAACTGTGTTCCCCAGGTCCTGCAACAGTAGAAATAAGGAGAGCTCAATGAAAATGGTGAGAGATCACTTTAAAAGACTTTCAAAGTACGGATTAAAGAAAACACTACAGCAGATGGTGAACTTCTGGAACCTGCTCCCAGAGGACATTTTGGAGGCAGAAAATACAAGCAGGTTCAAACAGAGCTTTGACAAATTCATGAATGCTAGTCCATAAACAAAATAAAAAAGGGCCAAATAAGGATGTATTTCCCTAATACAACAGCTATGGATGGTGGGGGATTATGAGGGGAATGGCCTGCAGAAAATGGCCAGGCTTGTGTGCTTTTCCTGGGTAACACCTCCAATTGCCACAGCTGGAGGCAGAGTACTGGGTGAGATGGACCATTGGTCTGACATAGTAGAGCATTTCTTATGCTCTTAGAGCTCTGCGTGAATGTGTCTGTGCCTTTTAATATTGAATTATCATCCTTATTTATCTGTGTGTCGTTAAACTTGCTTTACCTCTCTCAGCAAATAAATGTTTCTCTCATAATCTGCCTCCATTTATTAGAGTGCAGATTGTTGAGTTTTCAAACTTACACATCTGCTAACTGTAATGGGTGAGGTACTATATATAGTGTGTGAATTAATTGCCCTGGAAATTTGAATGCTGAACATTTGGGATTCTCAGACAAAAAGCTGTTTCGTCACATCCAGGATGAGTTGAAAGCATTTCTGGTAACTTGAAATCATTGTGAATTGTTGTGGTCGAACCTCTTTTGTTAACGTCTTTAAATGAATGTGGTCACAAAAAAATTTACATTTAGTTCGCCTGTACAAATAGTATTTTACATGCAGAAATGTGTGTTACTTAAAAAGATTACCTTAAAAATTGTTCTTAACATGACAGGAATGCACAAAATGGCACTTCTACTCATAATGGCCAAGTTTTGAAAAAGAGACCAGGAGTCATGAGTACAGACAGGTATAGAATTATTGGCAACTAATGTGTGGCTTTTTTTATAGGAACTTTTGCTTTAACCTCCTTAATATCTGCCAACGCAGTTGAGCGTCTTGTTCCTTCAGTCAACACTAATTTCACTACAAATAATAATTCAGGAGTTTTGGGCCTATCGGAGTTTGAAATGCAGAGGATTGGAGTTGCAGCAGCAGTTTCATTTCTAGGAGGAATCATTCAGGTTGGTGGCAAACAAATACTCCGTATGCTACTGATGCATTGCATTTGTGATAGCTATGACTTTTGTAATACTTTTTTTTTTTTTTTTTTCACTTCTCTGAGAAAAACTGACTATGGGTCTGGCCCGCTGTTCATGACTGATGAAATTAATGTCTTTTAAGAATTTGTTGCTCCTTTGTTGAGATGTAGTAATTGTCTGTATACATGCTCCTAGGGTGTTGCAATATGAAGTAAAACCACATTCATCAGCTCTAATATAATATTCAGTTGCTGTTGGTGCTCTCTTTCCTTCTCCTTCAGAAAGAAAACATGAATCAGCGCCTGGTAAGCACTGACATATTCCTGAGGTTTTCTATTGCTCTTGGCTTGAAGAGAAATACTATACAATATTCAATAATTAAAAACAGTAGGGAAAATATCTTTAAATTTTCTTTAGAGTTCACACACCCATCATTAAAGCAAAATAAATTAGTAAAACAGATGTCTTCAAATGATTCTCCAAAGCTTATTCAAATGATCAGAGGTCTTTTAAATTTCTTCTCTTTTCCTATTCTGACCACAAGCGCTGAGTTCCTTTATTCGTTGCCAGTTGCTTAGGTCTTCAAAAGGCTTCCCTCTTTCCTTGTAAATATTAAAACGGAACAAATGTTCCAGCACTTGACACTGCAACATCTCCTGGGTACCTGGCCTCCTGAAGGAAATCCAGACCCCTGCGCTTGGTGCTTTGGATCCCTCTACCACGCAGAGGATGAGTGAAGGAGCCCAGAATGGGGTCTCCAGTGGCCTGCATGCTTGGCAGGAACTGGGCCATATGCTTGTGTTAGTAGGAAATATCAAGAAGCGTGGTCATTTCTGTTGCATTTTTTTCATTCTTTTATTGGTTACAGAATTATGACTTGGGGTAGCAGCATAAGGGAAATCCTACAGGCAACATACAGAGTAGAGCTGATGCTGGTTGTGCCTGGCTGCTGCATGTGCTGTCCCGTTGCACCTGTGTGTGCAACACAACACTGCATCACGTGCAGGGCGCATGTTACAGCACAGAGCCCTCATGTGGGATTGCTGCGCTCACAGCCTGACAATCTCCTACGTTGTCCCCACAGAGGCCAAAATGCCTCAAGTGGGAAGTTGGTGCCTGTGTTTGATCTAACTTCAAAATCCAATGCAGAAATTTTTTACTTAGCTGCTGCAGAATCCCATTAGGTGTGTAAATCCTCTAGATCTCTTACTCCTTCATTCTGAAAAGTTTTGCTTTTTCATATGCCTTCAACCGTACCAGCTGACTTATCTCAGCCTATGTCCTGTCTAAGCCTGATTGGAATGAGAAGAACTAGAAAATCCTCTGCCTGCATCTTCAAAGCAGGTCTGATAGGGACCTGTTCCACATGCATGGGCTCCTCTCCCAGGTCAGTAATGTCACTTGCGTTAGAGTCATACTAATACAGCTGGTGCTTGTAGTGCTGCTGCTAGTCCTTTATGCAAGTTTAATGGTTAGATACCAGACTAAAATACTTATTTCCTAGAGGAGTGCCTTGAAGCTACTGGTACGCAATATGCAAGTGAAAGTCTGGATCAAGGCTGTGATTAAACTTTGCCATCTTGCCACGTGCTGTTAAGTGTGGGAATCCACGTTTCTCATCATGATTCCAGTCTCCTGGCTAGCAGTTGCAATTCCCAGATAAGGTGACAGGGCACCTCTTGCTGGTAATGGAGAGCTAAGTCAGTGACCTGCTTCTACTTATCAGATTAAACTAGAAATTAATGAATAGCCTGTAATAGATGTGGTATTCTGGGACAAGAAGAATAATGCGATGCATTTTGAGCCAACAGTTTTTTAGTTTAGTTGGTAGTTGGGATGGTATTTCTCTGGGAAGGGAGCAGACCTGGGTTATGGTGTCTACTATAAGACTGTTTCTTTATACTGAAAAAAAAATTAAAATGCAGTGCTCTAACCAGCCAATAATTACACAAAAATGACTGATGCTATGACTATTCCATACCTTGGGCAGCTTCCACACGAAGAATGAAAAGTTCCTCTCCAAAACAGCTGGTTCCTTCTTAGAAATAGTAGGCAAAGACCTAAACCTCCTTTGCCAGAAAAGCGATTTGATACTATTTTTCCAGTAGCCTGGCTAAGTACTGTAATCAGCAAATAATGTTAAAGAAAAAAAAGGAAAAAATGTACAAAATAGTGAGTCACGGAGGAAAGGCGAAGGGAAGAGGTGTTTTTGAGATGAACTTGGCTTCTTTGTGTTTTGTGAAGATCATAAGTGTGCATTTTTTTGTGGGGCAAGCTATGAGCAGGCTTTGTGAATCTCAGTGCCATCTAGACACAAAATAAATTAGAACTGGTTTCTGACAAGAATAGGTGGAGCTTATAAAATTTGAAATTTGGAGTGTAGCTCCTTCAATTTTTTTCAGGTAGTAAATTTTGGATTCCTAAACTGCTTTTTAAATCTAATATTTGAGGGAGTGTTCATAAAAGAGGGAATATATTTAGTTATCTTAAGAGGCATTCTGATGAAGTTAACATAGTATTAAAATAGAAAATAAGTAAACATAAAATAAAAACTGTAATTACCAAAACCTTTTAATATAATACATTCACAGAGACTATTTCATTTTTAAAAGAAGAATGGAAGGTATAATGCAGATTTTTTAATGTTTGTGTAACTGCTACTTTATAAATCATAGAATCATAAAATCATTTAGCTTGGAAAAGACCTTCAAGATCATGGAGTCCAACCGTCAACCATGCCCACTAAACCATGTCCTGAAGTGCCTTGTCTACGTGCTTTTTGAATAGCCCCAGGGATGGTGACTCCACCGCTTCCCTGGGCAGCCTGTTCCAATGCCTGACAACCCTCTCAGTAAAGAAACTTTTCCTAATGCCCAATCTAAACCTCCCCTGGCACAACTTGAGGCCATTCCCTCTCGTCCTATCTCCAGCCACCTGATAGAAGATACCAGTACCCACCTCACTACAACCCCCTTTCAGGTAGTTGCAGAGAGCGATAAGGTCTCCCCTCAGCCTCCTTTTCTCCAGACTAAACAGCCCCAGCTCCCTCAGCTGCTCCTCATAAGACTTGTGCTCCAGACCCTTCACCAGCTTGGTTGCCCTTCTCTGGACACACTCCAGCACCTCAATGTCTTTCCTGTAGTGAGGGGCCATAAAGATAAACAAGGCATGGAAAGCTAATCAAGTCAATGGAATTATTCCCTGATACTAAATACCTCGTAGGTATTGATATGGAGAGGAAATGACATAACATAACAGATGCCTATGGAAGAATTTTGTAATTAGAATTGGATGATGCCTTTATAGCATCAAAAAAATCCACAAAAAAAGATTTTGGAATTTTTTTTCCTATTAGTTTATTATATGTGCAAGAATGCTTGCATAAATATATGTGTCTATAAAAACCCTCAACATTCTAAAATGAAATTTGACATTAAATTTGCTGACTAGGTAGAGGAAAGCTGCTTGCAGTTCAAAGTGAGAAAAAAAAAATTTATCCTAGGAAAAAAGCTTTATTCTCTTAAGGACTGTAGTGCTACAGACTTCAGTTGTGCTACTCTTCTGTGAATGAGAAATAGCTGGTTAATGCATTCCAGTCTTCTACATTTTACTGGTAAGTTTTTCAGCTACTATATTTTTAAAACTTATATATAATTAGTTGCTTATGTAGAGTAGTTGAAATAAAAAATATTTCTGGTTATCAGGAGAACAAATTTACATGGTCTATTATCAGTTTGCTTAATAATGAAGGAGCACATCTGAATATGAAGTGTGTTTTTGTAAGGCTAATATTCTTGTCTGAAGCTTTGTTTCCCTGTGGGGAAAATTATGCTGCACTATTCTGTTATGCATAGTTTTTCATGAGGTACAAACATGAGTCTTTATTATACAGTGATAAGCAGGAAAAGAGCTCATTTTTCTTTCACAGTGGAAATAACTTCTTGCAGGCTCATATTCTGTGTCTTGAAAAGTACAACTAGGCTGGATGTGAGTTCTGGTTCCCACAATTACGGTACAGCATGCTATGTGTTAGTCCAGAAAGACCACAGAAAGAAGTCTTTTTCAGGTCCTGGGGTGAAGAAAGCTCACTCCACACACCATCAGAAGCTACCAAACACTCTCAAGCCACCCACAGTGAACTTAAGAGCTGCAATTCAAAAGACCAAAAGCTCCCAATTATAATGTCTGTTGAAACAGGCCAAAAAGAGTTTTAAATTGGTGACTCAGTCAAGCTGAACTGTGCGTGTTTGACTGTTGGTCTCCAGACAGTCCATAGATGTCTTCACTTTTGCAGCCTCTGATTTTGAGATAACTGATACAACATACTAAATGAGAGGTTCACAGTCTGTACTGCCTCCTGCCAAGAGATATTCCCCGTCTTCTTAGCCCATGCAGCAAATGATCAGAAAGAGTACCACCACTTTTTGTTTGGTTTAACAGTGAAAAAAAGCTGCACCTTCCAGAATGTGGAGTTTTGAGGGATTTAAAATTCATTCTCCAAAACCGAATTCATGGAGCAGGTAACATGATAGCCTTTCAATTACTGAGGACAGAAAGTTTGAGATTAGTGATTTCCAAAGTGCCTGTTACATCATAAAAATTTTTACTGGCCATAAAGTTAGATTGACTACACAGTGAGAGTGGAATTTTAACAATAATAAACTGAGCACGTTGTCATGGGAAGAAAGTATTGAAAGTGGACAAGAACCAAAAGGGCTTGAATTAATGAACATGAGAGCTTTGGTTTTTGCAATTACTCATTTCTCTTCTCCTGGCTAAATCCCCATTCTCTTCTACTTGTCAGGGTAAAATTATGAAGAAGTAAAGACAGCTGCAAGAAAAGGTTCCCTTTGCATTATCTTTCTCCCATTCTCAACTTCAGTTTTCATTTTGTTTCTATAATTATTTATTTTTTAAATCCCACCTTCCACCACTTCTGTCTAATCCCTTGGGTTTATAATTTATTTCCATGATCTTTTCTCCTTTACTGTGCATTAACTCAAGGCTGCTTTCCCTCACTTTCTCCTGTGGTTTTTTTCCTTTCTATGACAGCTCCTGATTTCATTCATATGAATTTAATAAAGACTGTATACCTGGTGAAAATAAAATTCATCTCAAGATAGCTACTTCTTAATGAGCCTTTTAACATAGTATGATGTATTAAAAAAACTGCACAAAGAAACTAGCCATGCACCTTTCAAACCATTTTTGTTACTGTCGTTCTCTCTCTCTGAAATATTCCTTCATCCCCTAGGAACTAAATTTTGAAAAATGAAAAATTCTGGAGACAATCCTAAAATAAGTGAAAATTTTGTTCCTTTTACAGTTTAAGAAAGCTCGGTATTAGTACAAATAATGAAAAGAGAAAACTATTTGCTTTTGACATTTTTTTGTACTTTAAGTTTTTGCTGTTCTGATGCTTCACTGTAAGTTTTTTCTGTAGTTCTTCTGCATCAAGAAGGAAGAATAATCATACAATGTACCAGAAAATAAGATGGGAAACCCGCAAAAATGAGCATCGCAACCACAGCGAAGATAGAGTAGATTACCAGAAATTTCTTTAAGAATATTGGTCTTACTACATTTTGGTTATTGCTTAGTGGGTGAAAGATTTTACGACATAATGCAATATGTGATGTAATTGTGTGCTGTCAGTCAGCTTAGTTTCAAACAGTGTTTATCCAAAAAGCAGTGGCAGCCAAGCTATATGCCTGTTGCCCAGCACAGAGGGTTAACTGGAGAGTTGATCTATACTTGTATAACTGCTAAAAATTTTAAGTATATCTGTCAAGAAAAGTCACGTGCAACCAGATTTGTAAGGCTTGTTTCAATACAACTTTTTGCCCCGTCTTGATCTAAGTAGTTTCTCTACATTACTCGTGTTGCAAGGACTGCAGGAGTTTCCCATACCAGCTTATGCTGAAAATTACACCCTCCTCCCCAGATGTTTCTGTTCTGGTTGCTTCATTGTTAGATCTTCACTGTGGAAGATATATGGGTGCACATTATATTTATTTAACTATAATGTAAATAAAGAGTAGGAGCTACATGCTGATGAAGCATTGCCTTTGTTTCTGCAAGTCCTGAGCTGCCTTCTGCAGTAAGAGATGGGGCACCAAGGGTAGGCTGCTGCTTGTTTAAATGAGTGGCTACAGAAATTGCCTACCTGAAGCCATACTCATGGTTTGGATGTATTTCACATAGCCCACGGTTATAAACAAACGATAAAAATTATGTTTGATATGTGACCTTTTAGTTACTACCTGTGAAACATCCACCTAAAATGCTGAAGATTTAAAGTAAAAAAATTAAAATTAAAAAAAAAAAAAGTAAATGAGAGTGATGCTGAAGTTGCTAAGTTCTGCAATCATGACATTTCCCTGTAATTCACCATAATAACTTTCTCTGAAATGCTAATATTAACTAATATTTCTCTGTGATATTACGTAGTTCACAGAATTCTCTCCGTGGTTTTGGTTCCACAGCTAAATAATCATCCATCTCATTCTCTGGAAACTAAGCTATTACACAGTTAGAAATTTCACATCCATACAACACAAACTGATCTTAGAAAACAAACAAAAATTCACTAGGGAAGGGAGAATTTAATTCTTATTGAACTTCCCTGCTGTGAACAAGTTTTAAATATATGAATAGGCACACTGTTAGAACAAACAGCTAAACAAAAATATCTGAAGTTAGTAATTATCAGTTTTAGGCCTGACTAACTAAATTGCTACTCACTGAGGGTATAACAGTAATTATCATTATTGGGATCCAATCTTGAATGGTAATCAATGTTCTGATTGTTCATAGTAGAGAGCTGTTCACATGCTATTACTGGGAAACAGAAAAAAAGATTCTTACAATTAATCTCTCAGATGGAAGAGGAAATTGCTCACTAGAGGTTTTTGTGGTAAATTAAAAGCCATTCACTTTGGTATTTTTGTCTCTTTTGTACTATTATACTCATACCTTACTGCATACAGGTGAGATTCATGGTGAAAAAATAAATGGTATTCAGGCGTAAAGAATGATAACATTTGGAAATTATTCTTTTAGCTTCAGAAGAAAACAAAATAAAGCAAAGGAGACACTGATATATTCCAAAAGGTTATTTAGTATGGTAAACACAAAATAATCCTCTTGGAAAATATTGTAACAAACAACTCTGTGCCAAGAGCATGTAACTTTTCAGGCGGAAGAATAGCAAATGCAGAAGACTACAGAAGTAAGAAACTGCTTTTTTTTAATCTAATGAATCTGCAGAACTCATTGTAAGGGGAGATAATTTAAATGTAACTTAATATCTTAATATGGATCAGAAAATGATTAAGTGTTATGCAAACCACAGTAGCCTCTGTAGGTATGTAACAACATTGTTCAAAGAATTGAGAGCTGTCAAATCTTGTTCTTGAGAGAAGAAGAGTGGTTACAGTCTGGAATAAGGAAAGAAAACACAGGAGGACACAAGAATACTTTGGGTATTTGTTCTGTATTCCTACGAAGTATCTACAGTAGTTATAGATTCATCTGTAGTCCAGATTCCTGGATTAGAGAAGAATATTATTCTTTCATTATATCTGTACTCCAAAATAACGTCTGTAAAAGTTGCAACAAAGCTGAAATAATCTTCAAGGTCAAATATAGCTGAGCCAAAGTCTATTTTTTTCCCCATCCAATTGTATATGGGATTATGTTTATGAAATTGGATGTTGAATTTTTTCTTCCATTTAAAAAATTTTCTGATAGTATACAGATATTCTACTTTAAGTTAGTTCAGGTATTTCCCAAGTACCTAGGAAGTAGATTTTAAAGTTCCTTAAAATCGTTTCCTTTTACTATAAGTTTATAAAGTTTGTTCATACAAAACACATAACTGTGTAAATATCCCTGTTTCTCTGTAAAGAAGATAAATATTTTTATATCCTCCACTCTCTGAAGCAACTTCTGTTGATTCCTTATCTGAATACCCATAAAACCAGAAACCTCAATACACGAAGCTGATCTAACTAGAGGTAGTAGACTGGTGTTACTTGATGTATTTGATGTTATGATACTGCATCATGAGAGCACCAAGTGTCATGGTATATTGAACCGTATGCAGAGGGTCAGTGGGATATCAGGAGGCTGAGGGTCCGCAGGAGGGGCGAAGCAGTGGTGTGACTGCATTGGAAGGGAAAACTGATGGCGCAGCAGCCGGGGGCAGGGCAGGGCTCTGCGGGATGACGGAGCTCTCGCCATGAGACTCATCTCTCCGTAGTTTTAGCACCTAATAAATGTGGTAGGTGTTGAAATTACTAACATCGGGAATCCTGATACCGACATGTTGGCAATTGGTAAGCTGGACTAAGATACAGCCCTTTGCCTACTCAGGCTGAATAGCAGTGGAGCAGGAATGAGTCTTAGCACCACCCTCACCTTTTGGGTTGCTTTACTTCATGTTGCTGTGCTGAGCTGATGTTTTTATAGTGTTTATTGTCCTCATGTATTTGAGTGGGAGAGAATTGCATGAAGACGGTTTCTCTGAGTCTGCTTTTGTTACTGAACTAACGTTAGAGTCTGGTAAACTGGTGATGTGAGTAAGATAATGCAGGTAAACCCACAGAGTTTCAATGGGTTCCATTTTCAGCTATAGTTGTCCTTCAAAGGACTTTTGCTTTTTATTTTTATCTCATTTATCTTACAGTTTATTAAAGTTATCATTGTCCTATCACCAGGAAGCCACATGTTTTTATAATTGCTGCTACTCATGCCTTTGCCTTTTAGGTAGCGATGTTTACGCTGCAGTTGGGCAGTGCCACTTTCTTGTTAACGGAACCAGTGATAAGTGCAATGACAACAGGAGCAGCTACACATGTTGTGACTTCACAAGTGAAGTATCTGCTGGGAATGAAAATGCCGTATATATCGGGACCACTCGGATTTTTTCATGTGAGTTTAGTAAGAGAGATGGGTTATTCCATTAGCTAACATTTTCTTAAATAACTCTGCTAATGAGCTATATATAAGTGTAAGACATTTGTTATGCATGCGTGTGAATGAACAGAAGGTGTAATACCCAAACCTTCATCTTGCTAAGTCTGTTTGTAAGAACAGATTAGGAAAACTTGATGAAGAATGAGCAGGAATGGGTCTTATTTTGGAAGGATACAGTAATCTATTTAAAATATGTGTATTACAGCATCAACAATTCCATTTATTATCCTGAGCAATTGCACAACTTTACGGGGAGGGTTAACTCTTTCTGGATCAGCATGTGGGAGGGATATATCCAAATATAATTCTAAACATATTTTCTTCATTTTTTGCTGAATGAAACCTAACCATCATTGTGGTAAAAGGAAAATGACCCATGATTTGTGGATCTCCTGTGCAAAAATTACCCTAGATACATTACTTATTGTTTTATGACATGATATTACTTTCCCATAAACACAGCAAGTATACAGTTTTAAGGTAATTTTTATAAAATGTGTACAGCCTTTCATACAGTATCATGGTTACTCCCTTTGGAAAGTAGATATTGTTGGCTGAAACATTAAAGGGCAAAGTTGTATAATCTTATTGCATACAAGATATGAGAATATATTCTTTATGGTAACATTCCAGCTAACCCTGAGTTTAGGTGCTGTGAGCATAACCTCTTGACAGCAGAGTTAGTAGTATGACAATAGTATCTGTCAGAATGATATTTTGCTCATAATAAAGCCTTATTCACTTGCTGAGGTGATGATATTTACATTGCACCGATAGCAATAAATGATTACCAGATGAAGTGAGGCTTCATCTAGTTAGCCAATAAATTAGGACACCTTATTTAAAAGTACTGACTATATTTTCTTGCACTGATCTGCTCTTTACTTTTTCCTATTATTTTGGGAAATTTGTTAATGTGAACTCTGTGATAAGAAGATGTTGCTTTTTAGAATGTTGTTTCATATTATTTTACAATTTTGATAGCATTTTGTATGGATAATCCATTGGTAAGTTTTTTACAGGAACAATTTATTAATGAGAATTAGGGGCATGTAATAAACACAAGTAATGTATCTTGTAGGGACATAACTAAAAGTGTCATTGCCATTTTTACGAGTTGGCCTCTGAGACTATTACAAATTATTCATGATATTAAAATATTTTTTAATTCTTTAAAAACCTTTTCATAAATACTTCTTAATATAAAATGTGACTAGCCTCTTTTTTATGGAGTTTCCATGGAGACTATACTTACATATAGGAATATTGTCATCTTGTACACATGACTGGTGTTACGTACCACAGCCAAGACATAATCAAAATATACATTATGAGCAATAATAAAGCACAGCAGTGATATGAAGAAATATTTCCATGTTGGTGTGCTGATGATATCATAAATGAGGTCATTCAAATGCTTTGAAAGAAATCTATTCCCTTATCCCTTGTATTTTTTAATGTAATCTGAAACAAGTTCTTTGCCCTTCACTTCACTTTTGAAATCAAATCTCTTTGAACATTTTCCAAAGAAAAATTTTCGTGATTTTTTTAAGGTTCTGAATTGCTCTGTAGGATTGTGTGAAAACAAATGAACAAGCAAAAAACCCTCTGTACAACTTAGAAAAATAATTTAAACCTCTCCATATTTAGAAGGGACAACTTTACCATACAAGTATTTTAAAAGGTTTCTGGTACCTATTCAGACTTATGGGTTGCTTTAAGAAAGTCCAGTATCTCAGTCAGAAGCACCAGATTTAGATTTTAACAATAATTTTTTTCTGTGGTGGTAGTTTTATATGAAAATTATACTAATTAGATATATGTTAGTGTGCACATGTAACTAGAGAGTGAAAGGCAAATTTGGCATGTCTCTGGACATATTCTTTTCTCCAAATTCTTGAAACCCAAAGACTGGTATTTTTGCTTACCTTTTTTTTCTTTCTCCACTGCAGAACACCTCCCACTCACAAAGTTGATTGCTCCGCCTCAGGCGGCCTTTGGGTTGGCAAAACAAGAATAAGAATGTTTAATAAAGTGTGATAGGAGAGTTGAAAGTAAAGCAAGCCAGTGAAATGGATTCTTTATAGCAAGTGAGATCATGATTAAATATGTAAAAATGAACTTTGCATATGGAGAACAAATCTACTACACTGGTGTTAAGCCTGTGGGATTTTTGTGTTTATACATAGTTTATGTAATTTATTAAATCTCATTTTCCCTGTACATGGTTTGTAACACTGCAATTGAGCTGCATATTGCAACATCAATTGGTATTTTGCAAACGGGAAAGGCAAGGTGAAGGTGAAGAAGAAAAATAGCGAGGGAAGACTACATGTGAGATCTAATTTTTACAAGGGACAAGAAAAGTGTCATCAAGTTTTACTTAGTATCTGAAACCAGAAAAACATATCTATATTTGCCCTTTATGCATGTGTAGGTATATTTATCCTTCCACAAGTTGCTGAGAAAATGCAGCACTGCAAAATAAACTGCAACATAACAAACCTACTTTGCAAAATGGGGTCTTTCCTGGTTGTGTTGCAAGTTTGTTGCAAAATCCTTGTGGTTGTACTGCAATTATCTGAAAAAACCCTTCATGTTCCTTCTCTCAGTCCTCTTTTTTTCGAATTTGTTCCCTATACAGTTCACAGTAGTTGCCTCTACTTTTTTCCCACAGCGTGTTTTATTTGTCTAACAAACATCAGAATGGAACATTTTTGAAAATGCAATGAGGTTGTCTAACCTTAAACTGTATTGAGTGTTTTAACTAATACGTTCCGTTAATTCTTTTGTTTGCTTCAGCCTCTATACTCATTTTAGAACTAATCTTTTGGGTTTTCATGTATACATTAAAAAAAAAAGAACTCAGAGTATCTCATTAATACATCAGAATACACATTCTTTCTAGAATATAAACTATTAAAATGTTCATTATTACCCTATGAAGGTATGTGAAAATATAGTGGAAGTCAAAGCCATTAATTTCGCATGGGAATAGTGACATTCAGTGTCTGTACATATACATATCCAAAGTTAGAATATTGCTTTTTTTCAGTTATGTGCAAATTTGCATCGATTGGCAAGAAGTTCACTGATTCCTCATGATGTTGCCACATCATTTCCTTTAAAAACCTTTACACAAAACTAGCAGTAAAAGTAAAAACCAAGAGAACAGCTCAATTAATATTAGTGATGTATTTTTAAATTTTGTTAATTATGTAATAACACAAAAAATTGCTTCATACACTGCAATATCAAACTAAATTCTGCTATACAATTTCTAAATTATTTCAGTAAGTGCATCAACAAAATATGTGGAATACTGAATTCATAATGATGTTTGTGATGATAACATTTGTAAATATTTCTTTTGAATCAGATGCCAGTGCCTAAAGCTTGAGCTTTTGGTGCTTACATTTAGGATGACACTTCAATAGACACTGTTCATTTCAAAACAAGCCCACATCTCTCTGACTTTGACAGTTAGGAATCAATCCATTTCTTCCTTTTTCTTACCACTTCACCTTAGATCTAGCTCAGCCTTTGGTGAGTTTGTGGGCACATTTTGCAATATAGTTTTCCAGATTGCCTCCTTTTGTTCTAATTAATCACAGCTTCTGCTTGGGCACTGAGCCAAGTCCTGTGCTCTCTTGAAAATGCATTCTTGGAAAATTATGAGTACAGAGGCTAGTCCCAAGCTGCTCAAGACACAATCCACATATTGTCTGATTACAGTGGGACAATATGTGGTTACAAACTGTGGTTTGATTACCATTCTTCAGATATATGACATATATAGATCATATTATTTAACAACATTTAAACATTTTAAAATGTTTACCTGGGTTCTGAGAAACCTTTGTGCTGGGTTATACTGTGCATCCTTAATCAAAAGTCCAAGGGCTAAATTTCAAAGGACTGGACCAAATTTTCCTCTTTGTGAGGAAAATTACTTTTTCTTTTTCTTTTTCTGTAACTATTTTTTTTTCTGTAACACATTCTTTTTCTGTAACTATTTTTAGTTTTTAAAAATTTTTTGCCCTTATAGATTATGAAAATATTCTTAGAAAGTATGAGAGAGAAAAAAATTAGGAAGTTGTTATTTTAATTTACTCATTCTTAAAAACAAGGATCATCTCTTCAAGAAGTGACAGAATCAGAACAGTAGAAAAAAATTCTATCATCATATTGACCACCTTTCTGCTAGAACGAGGATCTTTCCTAAGATAATTTTTTCTAGTACTTTTTCCTGTCCAATATAAATATATGTGTTTAAACTCCAAACTGTCAAACCTTGTTAGCATTATACATGTATTTGAGAATAGGTTCTCTGGGGCAGAAAATTATTAATCTTTATTTTGATAAAACTACAAGTGTCACTTTTCATTTATTTTAGTGGTCGTCTTAGTCATTGCCAGAGAAAACCTTTTTTTTTTAATATTATTATTTCAAGCCTCGGTTGCTTGATTTTTTTATCCTTAATGTTGTGGTTTAAAAAGAAGTTACTTGTGATGCAGTCTAAATCTACATCCTAGATTCTAACTTCTGTTCTCTCTGTGGTTTACATTTCAGGCTACACAATAGTTCCCAGAATATAAATGCAGAATTCAAGCGACTGAGCCTACCTTGTTTCCCCCCCCCCAGCTTTAGTGAGCATGTGTATTATATCCATTTTCATGCCGCTCTGTTCCTCCAGGCAATAGACTATTGCCTGTTATTCATGAAGCCTGAAAATAACTTGTGATGGGGATCTGATTATTTCTTTGTTTATCGGAACAGAAGTTCCCTCTAATCTTCTTCACCCCTTCTGACCATTCCTGTAAACTTGTAAATTTTTTCAATACTTTCTGTTAATTTGTTATCATACTGATTTATGCCTCATTTTCTGGACACTCAAATTCAGAGTAGAGCTGAAAGTACAGTTCACTCTGTCATCTGTGCTGGTGCGAAGGCAACCGCACTCTTCTGAGTCTGTTACTTACGAGATTGTATTCATCCTCAGAGATGCCTGTTACTCATCACCATTGATCATTCTATTCCTATTCCACATTTCTACTTCACATGTTCCTTATATTCAGCACTGTATTTCCTTTCTTCATCATAGACCCAACTACATTTTTCTAACCATGTCTTCCAGCATGTTGCACCACACCCTAACCTCTGAAAAGCTGAAGGGCTCCATTTGCAGCTGCGTAGCTCTGCTCCAGTCTCCTCTTTCTCTTTTAACACTGCAGTCTGCCTCTCATGTGCAGCGGTGCAGCCCTTCCCCAACCTCCCAGAGCCTGCCGCAGCAGGACTTGGAACCTCGTGGTCCAGCATGCCCCACTCCTTGCACCTGGAATTCCTGCACCTTGCTGTGGAGGGTTTCCCCTGGAAAGCACTTGCCACTGATGTGTGAAACACCTCTTCTTCCCCTACCCTCTTTTTACCTCTTGATTTGCAGCTTTTTATTTATAATTTTTTGCTAGGGAAAGAAACAGGGCTTAGTAGGTAGTATTAGTTATTTAAATAGCCAATAAGATACGTACACAAAGCTCGACAGCTAATTAGCATGTGCAGCATCTGGACCCGATCCAAGCATGCCCATGGAGCACCATTTGTGTAATGGCCAAGAGCAACCAACAGGGAGACTGAGTGTGCCCTGCTGAAGCTATACAGTTACTCTGGAAAGGTATTCGTATGGACCCCCTCCTGCACTGGAGAGGATGTCCTGAAGAGGATGCCCGTCTAAAGAAGATTCCTGTTGCTTCTCTTCCTGTCCAGCCACTACTGCATTTTACTTTCCCTTTTCATTCTTCCTCTGTCTCCTCTTTCCCCCCTCCTTCCTGTCTTTTATAATTTGTGCTCAGAATTAACTTTTACTGTTAGAGTTGATGGATGTTATGAGCTGTGAACACTGAAAATAAATCTTTGTGTATGGAAGTTTCTCTCAACATTTTTGTACAACACTCATTTATCTCACTGGATTTAATGAGACTGGAATTTTCTTGCTTGCTTCTACCAATAGAAATTTATAAATTCATATATACAAATATTCAGTGCATTTTTTGAGTTTTCAAAAGTCCATAGTAGTAGTAAATCGGTGATTTTCTTCCTTGCAAAATCTTAAGTGTAGGCCAGTTCGTCAGACAACTCAGCTCTTGCAATATTGATTCGTCTCTCACAGATTAAGATGTCTGAAGTCGTGTAGAATATGCCATAGCATGTGACCCAAAATGATATAATTTTTGATCTGTGATTGTTATTTGCCATTCACTGTAGATTTATGCCTACATATTTGAGAATATCAGATCAGTTCAGCTGGAAGCTTTACTTCTCTCCTTGCTGAGCATAGCGGTGCTTGTTCTTGTCAAAGAACTGAATGAGAAATTTCAGAGAAACATTAAAGTTGTTCTTCCCATTGATCTACTTTTGGTAAGTACAAAATCAAATATCAGACGTTTTGCTTACAAAGCTTTCAGTGGTTCAAGTAGTCTGCTGAAGTTTACTTTGTTGTCTATAGTTACTCACAGCCACACCTGCCACTTATTAAATGGATAGCTAATTTTCATGGCTGTATGTTAAATGTAAGAACAGGAAACAGTTTGGCTAAATAATTAAGAAAGAACTGACATACGTTCCCAATTTGTATAATATTTTGCATGTGTTTACTACTTTTTACATAATCACAAGAATATGACGCCTAGAATGTTGAAGTGTAAGAAGTTTGAAATAGAAAATGAAAAATAACTGGCACATTGTAACTCCAGGCAAGTCTTGAGCTGGGTAGTTGTGGCTTAGATGTTGCTTGTTATTTATCTGCAACAAAGTTAAATAGCTATGCTATTGTTTTCTATATTTTTACTTAAAGTTTTCCTTTCACAGGGCATAGGCTAAATTGAAATTAGCTATTGCATTGTAAATCCTTGCTTTAAGGCTTAAGCTGTAGTCAAATAATCAGCACCAGGACAGAAAGTTTCTGTTTTTCTCTAGACCTCTAAAAGAAAATAAAAAAAATGAAGGGTGAGTGCTTTTCAGAGTGGGTCATCACAATTACTCTTCTTTTGCTGGAAAAAGTTATTTACAAAAGAATAATTATTCTTGGGCAAATGCTAGAAAAGGAGGTAGTGTGGTTCTGTTACCTACTCTTTGCTCTGTTTCTGTGTTACCTTTTAAACAATACTGGATAAAATGTACCAGCAAGCTGAGGATTATGGACTGGAACCTGTGCCTGTTCTATTGGGATTTGTGTGTTCATCTCATAAAAAGTAAGGGAAGTGAGTTTGAACGTCCTCAGGGCCAAATTTTCCACTCCCTCAGCAACATTTATACCTGCTGGAACATAAAAATAAGAGGCAACCACATCTTCTGCTGTGTTTTGTGCTGAAGTCGACACTGCCAGTCTAGATTAGATGTGCTCAGAGAGCATCAGTGGAATTAGACCTCTCAGGAGTACCTAAATTATGAATTATTTTAAGCTGCTCACCTGAATGGCAGTGGTCTGGGGCACATGCTGCATAGAAGCAGCTTGGACACTAATTGGCAAGGTTTCTGAGGCTTTACAGAGACTTGTACAGATCCCTTTCATGAACACAGAATGCACAAACTTCACCATAGTCCTTCTTCAGCCATCTTTTCTAAATTTATTATTGTGTCCAGATCTGAGTTTCTTTTGACTCTCTTCCACATTTGCAAAAATATTCATAATAATACTTCCCTGTCTTACTGGAAAGATCTAAGGATAAATGCATGCACACTGTCAATGTGCTTAGGTAAGGCAATAATAAGGACCATCCACATTTGCAAAAATATTTGTAATAATACTGCCCTGTCTTACTGAAAAGATCTAAGGATAAATGCATGAACACTGTCATGTGCTTAGGTATGGCAATAATAAGGACCATGTGAGAAGCTAAAAACAATAGAAACGTAACATCTTTTTCTGTGTTGAATCAATAGATAATTGCTACATCCGTTGCTTGCTACTATGCTGATATGGAATACGTCTACAGGCTAGAAGTTGTGGGACATATTCCTGAAGGGTAATGTGGTTTTTATTAGCTTGTGGCTTTTAAATATGTTTACTTCTGAGAACAGCCTCTGAAGAGGTCAAAGTAGTTTTCTGAAATAAAAAATGGCAAAAATCTATTATGTCAGTTTCCAACCTCCTCAAATACTCTCTCAGAATTCAACCCCAGGTTAACAAGGTATATCTGTATAGATATCATTGTAAAAATGCAGACTTTCTTGTACATTTTCATAGTTTTTCTATTACTTTATGGAATAAAAAGTAGATACTAAGTACCTGATGATGGCTGTTGGATGTATGACAGAGGGGCAGAGCACTCGACAAGATTATTGCAACCTGCTTTTTAAGGTTTGCCTTGGGTTATTGTAGCAGAAAGGACATGCAATGAGATAAGGCTTGTAGATTACTACACTTCATTCTTCTCCGCTCGCTTATATAGTAATTTTAGGAAATGTAGTTTCTAAGGAAATGTAAAGGATTTAGATATGCTTGATCTAGAAAAGATCATTCTGACCACAGATAGTGATACATTTTTCTCCGTGACCTTGAAGAGAAGTTAAAAAAAATATTCAGTGTAATTAGCTGGAAAGAGAAATTAGATTGGGTGTCAGAGTCAATGTTCAAACTTCGTTGGCTGGTAGGGAATAACACAGCTGTTGTGTAATTTCCCTTTTGGAAATTGTAGGGTTTCCCTAAATTTCACAAAGTAGACTCTAAGTAGTCCAAGACAGCATACGTGCATGTGTGGCAGCTTGCACTCATAGAAATAAAATAAAGGAAGTCATTGAGAAAGAAAAATATTTTTAAGTATGTAGGGCATGTATGTATCTGAGGTTAAAACAGGATTAAGTATTGCCTTTTGATATGTGTTATGAACAGCTAAATTGTATTGGTGCAGCTTTAATCTGGAGCTTATTTTCTGTCTAACCTCACATGAGAAGATTCTGTAGTGTTGAAAAACACAAGCAGAAGCCTGGATCATTCCTGTGTATTTTTAAGCACTGACCTGAAATATCTAACTGCCTTGTCAGCGGAGAGTGTTAGAAACCTTCAGAATGTACTTTGGGTCTTAGGCAGCGTGATTTGTGCTCTGCAGAGGCTGAAGTCTGTGTGTGGAGTACAGAGGCAACCTGGGGTGATGCGGTACTTAACTGGGGCATTTCATTGCAGTCCCCATTAGAAGGTCTCCATTAGATGAAATAAATGTCCACACTGTCCATAACCTACAGGAATACTAAACTTTTTAAAAGGTTTAAATTAAACTTTACAGGAAAGCCGACTATAAAAAAGAAAAAATATTCAGTAGAGTTTCTTTTATTGCATATTACAAAATTAGGGAATGGTTGATGATTTTATCTGTCAGTGGGGGAGCTAATTTATAAGGATCCCTTCACAATTTCTCAAATAGAAGTTTGCAAATGGAAGACTTCATCTGAAACTGTTTCATCTTCCTGTACAAATTCTCCCTCGCAGTTCCCAACAGACCGAGATGTTATTAATCTAAAATATTGAAAAATGTCACTTCACAAGTATTAAAAAAATTAGCTGTGCATGCAAAGATAGTTTGTCTTGTGTTTTCATGAATTGCAGGTATACTGAGGCTATGTAACAGACTTTGCAAAAAAGACTGTCTATATTTTTTGTAGGTTACCATCACCGAAAACACCACCCATGAATGTCCTGCCTGAAGTAGTCACTGAAGCTTTTGGAGTAGCACTGGTTGGTTATGTAGCATCACTAGCTCTAGCCCAAGGCTCTGCTAAAAAGTTTAAGTACACTGTGGATGACAACCAGGTAAAGCTCTTTCTCCCTACTGTCAGTTAGCCTTGCAATTGCTTCACTATTCTGGAAATGTATTCTAGATGAATGCCCAGTACGAAAAGGTGAGTTCCATACAGCATCCTGAAGCCTTCCAGTAATTACAGTAAACCCCAAATCTAGTCCAAATCAGCTCTGCAGTAGGGCCTAGTTGGTTAAGCTGCTCCTTTTGGGGAAGCACATCCTTCAGGATAATCCCATAATGCTGAATTTGGTGCAGTATTTGGGTGTTAATGCTTTTTCCAGTGCTCTAAGACAAGACAGCTTCTCCTCTAGCAGCTGAGCTCTTAAAGACCAGCTAAAATGTTAAATCAGCCACTGACTAAAGAAACAAAGCAGTTCTAAAAATAAACCAGGTACTTATAGCCCTAGGACATATCTGATGTTATAAAATGAAGTTATGCAAAGTAGAAGTCTCATTTGAAATAAAGGTTTATTGGTATAAAAGAAACAGGATGGGTTCAGAAAGTGCTGCCAAATTTACAGCCATAGGAGCTTTCTGTACAGAGTTCCACTTTACAGTAGACACACTTAAATAAAAATGGTATGTTACTTTCTGCACTACCCCACTACTGGTCATGGCAGGTGGGTAACTCCAAGCCAACTGGAAATCTGTGGAGAGAATAATTCAAGCACTGTGGTAAGAAACGCTCAATTTTAGATAACTGGCAATAGTGCTGTGTGATGAAAATGCTGCCCCTGCCTTTGTCTTAAGTGATCTGGGGTAAACGATGTAAGGTTGAATGAAGAACAGTTGGTTTTGCAGCTGAAGGTCTATTTGAACACCCTATCTAGACGGGTTGGTCTTTCTGTCGGTTTACAACTCTTACGTCATTGGAAAATATGGTGGGAATGTTCTTGTCTACTCAGGTCTCTAAAATATTTTTCAGAATGAATACATTGGGCTATGAATTTCTGTTGATGCTTCAGAGCCATGTTTTCTAGGGAGCAGAGGGAAAATGCTTTGAGCTTAATACAGGTCAGACTTCAGGGCGATATGCTGCATTGTCTCAAGGGCACTGAACGGAGCACAGCAACCTGTATGTCTTTCTGCATCTTTGGAAATCTTGTCGCTTACACAGCTTAATTACTAAGGTGTTGGAAACTATGTGTAGTTCTGCATCAAATAATGGAGCAAAAGAACAAAGCCTCTGTGAGAGCAGAGACTACAATGGCAGCGGGGCGGCGTAGCTGTATTGCATTCAGGGGCCAGGCCCAGGGCTCTGCGTGGTGGCATGTGAGTGTGCAAGGTTGTCTGGGGAGCTTTAAGGTGGTGCTGTCCTGTGCTGTGAAGGCAAACTTATGATCAGGTGTTGCCCTGGATGGATACAATACCGTTTGTGTTCTAAGCACTTGTAGCAGTGCTGAAGTCTTCTCTTACACGTTGCCCTCAGCAGATGAATGAGCTCCTTGTAGTCTGGGGAAGGAGACTGGTGCTGGGTAGCCAAGTTGGGGCACTTTCACAGAAAACACTGTTCAGCTTAGGCTGCAGATACCTGGTGGCTTCTCCACTTTTTCTGCTGGAGACCTTTGTTCAGACACATCTGCATTTTGACTGTGAATAAACACCAAATATATTTGTCATGAAAGATGGCATGCAGAGAGTATGGCTACCGTACTTCACTTTCACTAAAGCATGCCTCTAAAAGACAAAAAATTGGTGGCTGTCTTTTTCCAGGAAAGTCATAAGCCAGAAACAACCTGGACACTGTCCAGATCCCACTGCTTGAGACTCTGGCCTGTTAAAAAGCAGATGTGGATCAAGATGTAAATATTTTGGCTGAACTTCATCTTCAAAACTTAGCAATACCATTTATTCTGTGAACAAAATGCGCCTTCTGTTTTTGATGAATCTGGTTCAGGAGCTCTATCATTCAAATTAGTTCTGAGTTGTGAGAAGATACATTATGTTGGGAGATCTTTTGTCATGTACATACGTGATTTTTTTTCCCTTAAAAATATGGCCATCCTTTGTCATTGCTAATATTTACATAGGGGACTCCTTTGTTGGCAAGAAGCATTGAAATGACAGAACAATAGGAAAACAACATATTCTATTTAACAACTTTGCAGGAATTTTTGGCTCATGGCCTCAGCAACGTGATTCCTTCATTTTTCTTTTGCATACCAAGCGCTGCAGCAATGGGACGGACGGCACTTTTATACAGTACAGGAGCCAAAACACAGGTAATGGGTTAAAGTGAAGTACGTAGGAGAATTAAGGCTATGATACTGCTCACTGGAACTTCTACTGATTTATCCATTGCATTCCCCTATTCTTCCTTTTCCTCTATCCTGGGAAATGACTCTGCCCTACCATTTTTCCAATCTGCATGGAATTGCATCTGATCAGCAACTGTCTTACTAGAAAAGCTAAAGGTTCCACTTACTAATTGTTACCTGTTTCATTCATTATAAACGCTAAAGTCTGTGGCAGTAAGGAGGTTATGAGTTGTGTTTTCAGACTGTGGGAAACGACATACAAACCCTTTCAGTTTTATGTGAATTTGTCAGTACTGTAACAAAAGTGCCCTCTAATGGTGTTTAATGGATTTAGTGGTGCAGGCTAAACTGAAGTTTTAGAAAAAAATCGGATTTAATTTAGTGCTTCTATCTGATTTTCAAAATAAAATGAAAGTAACCTTAAGAGACACTTGCTAAAAAAACCCAGGTAACCTCCCAACTTCTGCCTTGTGACATGGTGTACTTGTCCTGTCGCTCTGTAGACACAGCCCACAGAGATGGCACTCAGATTTTTGAGGATTTTTGGGGCTATTTTCTACTGTTGGAAACTAAACCCACAAGTTCTTACCGCAGTAGCTCAGAAAAGAGGGAACTGCAATTGATGAAAATGCTAGTTGTGATCCAGCGAGGCTGTTACTTGTCCGAATTGTGCTCGTGAACAAGAGAGGTAGGAAACGGCTCATCTGTGACCTTGGCGTGTGATGCCGCAGCTGGGACACCCCTGGGGCAGCCCCCTCAGCACTGCCTCTCCCTCCTTCCCCTGAAACATCCTCACTGACGAAGTCCATCAGTGGCATCCTGCCATATAAATGTTGTGTCCTTTGGAGTTTGTTGCTATTGCCTTTTTGTAACCTTTGCTCTCGCCTGTGTGAAGGACGTAAATTGCAAGGAAAAACGTAATGAGGTACAACTGACAAAGCTAAGCACAGTCTATAGGTAGTGTTTCTTCTTGACCATGTCCTGCAATTATTTGTCATGCAGATACCACGATACTAAGAAATGATTCAGCGTTGTATTTCAAAACTTTACATGTTAACTACTTGCTAATTAGCCTACACAGTATTCTGAACTCAATTAATCATAATGAATAATTCATCCAATAATAATTTTTAAAAGCATTTTTATGCAAATATTTTAGCTACCACTTTGCTGTTAGCTATTTCAAATCTTTGAGTTGGATTCAATGTCATACCATGTGCCCTCATCCTCACAGACATCCTCTTCTGTTACCTGTTCACGTATTGATTGTACAATTTGCAGTCATACTGCATCATGGCTTTTCCAAGGAAGCTTTAATGTAACCTGAAGACCTATACCTGAAGACCTATATATAACCTGCAGGCATGTAGGGTATCTAAGCACTTTGACTCTGGTACATGTAGGCAAAGGCCCTGATAGAAGGTTATTCAATGTATGAAATGGAAAAAGAAACCACCATAGTTAGATTTCAAGGTAGGAAATACATGGTAAAAATAACAAGTATCTTCTTGGTTTTATCCGTTGGTTTCACAGTGTAGCAGAGCCTGCATCCAAAAGTTAGTGTGGCCATGTGTTAGCACTATGAGTGTACTTTAATAAACATAAAATTGTCTTTCCTGCCTTCTCTTTGGAAAGCAGCACACCCACTTAATCTTCTACTTTTGGAGCTGTCTGGGCAGGACAAACAGATGAGAAGAACATCACTAATAAATGTTGGTCAGATCACAGGCAAAAAGAAGAGTGAGGGGTTGCTTTGACTACAGAGAGAAGTCAGTTTACTTTGGCGTACGTCATGAAAGAAATGCAAACAGCCTTTCAGGGGCTCAGAGCAGCCCTTTTTTCTCCCAATGGCTACACCTGGGATTCAGTGATGTCATTTATTCTTCAGTGATATCTTTCCTGGGAGAAAACAGAAGTGAGGGACTGTATCCTTCAAATAGAATCAACACTTTTTTTTTTTTTTTTTTGCTTTTTGGGAAGGCGGAAAGAGGGAAAAGTTCCTTGTGACTTTACCAGCAGATTTTGTGTCCCTTTTTCTGTAAACACTCTGTCTATCCTTCTTGATGGTATTTTTAAGTACACCATGGCTTTAATTTTCTAGTGTTTTAACAACTTGTCTGGTTTTGTTTTTAACAACTTGTCTCTTAAAATGAAACCTAATTATTTTAGTAAAGAAACATATTATCAATATAAAAATAAAGTGAGCATCTGTCTACTTATCATCAAAAACCTTCTGTGAATCTGGACTGTATCTTAATGAGACCAGAAGTACTCTACTTTGTGAGCAGTCAGAGTGGAGTAGGAGACTGCAATTTTACTGTAGTTTTCCATCAGATTAATACCATATAATACTGTGAAGAAACATATAATTCTTAGACCATATATTTGTCTGGATTCATGTCACCTGCATTAATTATAATATTTACTATATTAAAAAAAATTGTTCCTACATTTTCTAAAGTTGAGTCCACTGATAGTAATGTGAAATCATTGGAGGTTTCTGACTCAACACAATAGTTTCCTTTTAGTGTTGATCCCAGTAAAAGAAGTTAGAAATCTTCTCTTGTGCAAAAATGACAACACAGTTCTCCATATGTAATTTTTGCTGAGTGCTATGACAGATCTGTTATTTAGTGCAACATAGGGTGCATGGCTATGAATATGTTACAGAATGACAGTGGGTGCTGTGAAACTTCTGGGATGAGATATTGCACACACACGCTCTATTTAATAACCAAGTGTGTAAGTGATGTTGTGGTCCATGTCTGTGTGCTGTCAGCAGGGTCAAGCACAGATGTTAAGATCTCTTACAATGTTTTCACTGTAGTTGGCTGAAGGTAATCACCAGAGATTAAAACTGAAATTATATGCATCTGCAATCCATAGATACATTAATAGCTAACATCTTCAACATCTCATTCTTGGCTTTATTTACAATATTTAGTAATTAGTCCCTTTCACACATTTTAATGTATTTTTTTATTAGACTGAATGATCTGCTTTTCTTATTTATTGTTTTAGGTGGCTTGCCTTATCTCTTGTGTATTAATTCTTGTGGTGATCTATGCAATTGGACCTATGCTGTACTGGCTGCCTATGGTACGGTACTTATATTCTTTTTTAAAGATTACGATGTTAAACATCTTCTAATGACTTAATTTATTTCAGGGAAAGACAGTACTACTTCTAAAGCAGCTCTATTTAATTTCAACTAGAGAGAGCAGTAAGGGCACAGCAAGTCTCAAAATCATAAAATACAGACGTGACAACACAATACACACAGATTTTACACATATATAGTTGCTTATATAGGCTATCACATAAGTATATAAGAAAGCATTTCTCTTCTACTTACTTTTGGCACATAGTTTATGAAAAATATACATCCAGATTGCTGTGGATTTGCAAATTGACAAAGTGTGGTAGAAATTAATGAAGATCCACAATTTTTCTCCAGTTATGCATATGATGTATGACTTTGCTTTTCAAATAAATTTGACAAGAATGATTGTAGATAGTGATCTAAGCTTAATTACAGAAGGATTATGAGGTATTCTTATATCTCTGTCATGGAATACATCTTCTACACTAAGACTTGGTAAAGCAATGTGGTGTGTTTTCACATAAACTGTATCTAGGTTTTGGTATTACATATTAATAGTTAATTTTAACTAGAGGCATGTCAAAGATGCAAAATACAGCTCCAAAATTATCCATAATTCTGCCATGTTTGTACATGAAATTTTAACACAACTGTGTTTTAAATTTACTTTGTGCTATTGTTTACATAGTGTCACATGAAGGTTCTCACTTTTCAAACACAGATCCTTTTATAGCTAATTTTAACCATGCAAAGTAGGGACATTTGAAGAGGAGTGCACAATATGTCCTTTTTTTTACTATACTGCTTTCCTCCCTTCATTTTTTATATGGATTATATGTAAATTTTGACTGGTTGCCTGTAGGCTTGTTTTTTCCATATTTTAAAAAAAACTTTTCGTATGTTGCTTTCTTGATATTTTATTTCCTTTTACTATACTTTTTCAGTCCCCCCTACCTATGCACTGCAAGTCCATCACTTTGTACTCCATCCTTTTCGGCTCCAGATGATTTCTTCATCCATCTTCTCCCCTTCCCGATTTGGAGAGCAATAAATTATTTTGTTTGCCTCAAAGTTAATGGATTTTTTTCCTCTAGAGGCCTTCTTAAATGGTGAAGAAGAAGAACTAAAATTCTTCACTATGTAGAAGTTGAGTGCTGATTTGCTTTTGAGTCTCCCCAGACTATGGCAGAGTGCAGTTCACCTGGTGATGCATGGAGAGTCTTGGGAAGTCCTGAAGTTTCTGTCATTTTTCTCACAATTAGGTGGCCTGTCAATTGTGTTCAGGAAAAAAAAAGGGTCTGATACTGTTACATTTGTGTCACAAGGACACCGGTGCTTATCCCATTTTTGAAACACTAACTTTAGTTTTTTTGATAATTTAATTATAATATTGACTGCTAAATTGAAGAAAGAGCATTTGTTTTCACTACCAATTCTGCAAATAGTTTTTGTTTCTTATTTCTTTGCAGTGCGTGCTAGCAAGCATTATTGTTGTGGGCTTGAAGGGAATGCTAATGCAGTTCCGTGACTTAAAAAAATACTGGAATGTGGATAAAATTGACTGGGTAAGTGAAACTTAATCTAAGGAGGTTTTCCTGAGACCCTTTAACAAATACCTGCTAAATAAACATTAATAGTTCTGAGACCCTAGAAGAGGTAAGTGCAAGCCATTATTATTAGGGTTTTTGTATACTATTGGCTTATCTTCTATCTCCGAATAACAGCATCTGTAAAGTCAATTGTATTAAAAAACAGAATTTTAGCAAATGATGAAGAATCAAACCTAATTTATTGCTAAAGATGTGTATACAGACAGATCAGGTTAATCTGAGCAGATGTGTGTCTAATTTTGTATGCCTTCTCTAGCTGGTTAGCATGCTTTTGCGATTGTAGTATTATTGAAGAGATTCTGGTATCTTTGTCCTCTGGGGATATGGAATGACCGTACAGGACAAACAGAATGGGAAACACTACAGATGCAGAAAGATACATGTCCTAGGGTGCTATAGGTAAATTGCCTTAACTCTCAGAAAAAGCAGACAGATGTAAAGAGACATAGCATGAAAATCTAGTTTAATGCAAAGTCTGAATAGTCTGACATACATTTGCACAGAATTCCTAGCAAATATTAAAAATGAGTCCATGTTTAGGAAGACTCCTACGTTTCTCTTCTGAGGGAGTTTTTGAATGTATTGGCCAATTAGTGGAATTAAAACCTCTAACCACTTACATAAATACATACTGACACCCCATAAAGCTTTTGGAACTTCTGCTGTAAGGTGTTTCGGCCATATCCTCCTTCTCTGTGGTGGCAGATATAGGTTACTGGAGGTAATATTAGACTTTGTTGAACTCATCCAGTGATTTAGTATTCTACAGCAGTAATGGTAAGTCTAGACTGAATAAAACATTGTTTTTAATGGAGTACTGGATTTCAGTATGGAAAGCAGAACTGAGTAAACAGCATCAAGTTTGGCTATGTGAGATTTTTCACATTTCGTCACAGAAGATTAAAGTTATTTTTTTCATGTCATTCAGAAGAAAAGCTCTATCTTTCATGAAATCTTATGTTCCTCAAGTAGCAAAATTCTGAAAATATGTTCTACCACTTGTACTGCATTTTGTCTTCAGCTTGACCGATATTGCCAGTGACACAAATGGTGGATGATGTGGATCGAGAATTATTTTGGGGACAGTGGACTTGAGAAAATTGGTAGTTATGGGAGAGAGATATAGCTTCTCTATCAGTGCATTGAGATAATAAGTAGTTAAGTTTTCCAGCAGGGTATTCTGTAATCTCACTAGACTTGATGGGTCTTCACAGATAGACTAGCCTGATTGATTTTTTTGCTTTTGTGGTTTTGGCAGAAAAGGATGGGTGAGTAGTTAGTTATTACATCTCTGACATCTGCCATTATTTCTGAGAGAGGTTGTAGAGAGTATACCATTATTCCTTAGCCTGACAGGGTAAATCATCTTGCTTTAAATAGCATAATCTAAAGCAAGGCTGTAAATGTTGATCTTACATTGCTGCCTGGTCTGAGGAGCCCCACCAAGCCCAGTGATTTGAGTAACTACACTAGTGTTGATTTTGGCCTGAAGAGATTCACCCCAGCAATTGACAGCGCATTGGAAATGTATCAGTTCCATTACCCAGGTTATCCAAAGTGTTTTGAAGATAGAAACTCTAACAAAACATTTGGAAACAATTAGCAGCTGTCCTTTCTGGAACTGATTCTTCGAAGGGTGTGTGTCATGTAGCACAGAAGTCAGGTTTGTTATGCTTATAGGGCTGGCAAATGATAGTGCATGGAAACGGAATATTATGGTGTTTGTTACCTTGTTCCTTCACACTTCTTTAAGCTTCTCATTGAACACAAACAGGTTGAGTAATATTTATTTGTTGATTTGTTCTCTATAAAACACAATCTTTTTAAATGTAAAAGGTATAGCTTGAAAGGTACAGCTTAGGAGTTGGACTCAATGATCCCCATGGGTCCATTCCATCTCAGGATATTCTGTGATTCTACGAAATCTCTCCTTACAGCCATGCATTGCTTTTTCTTGCAAATTTAATGTTCAGGAACAGCTGGATTCAAAGGAGCAGCTACGCTGACAGACCTAAGTAACTAATACCAAATATTATCAGCTGAATATTATTGCATATATTTGTTTTGGTTTTCTTTCAACTTGTTTTTTATCAACCCTCAGTAATGTGCTTTTTTTACATCCTGCCTCTCAAATCACATTCAATTTCTTTCCAGCTAGAACCCCACTGCCCTTACTCCAGAGAGCCCTTTCCTGCCATTCACAGTGTTCATATGAACTTCAAAGGTCTCTTGCTTCAGTTGAGGTCTTCTGTCAGTCCCTACACCTTCTTGGATGACTTCAACAATTTCAGATCAATAATTGCTCTATTCTACTACATGTGTTATATATATAACTATGCATAACAGTATTTGTCCTCCCTCTGCTGTCTTCATCTTTCAATTTCTTCCAAGGTGTTGATTCCTGTGTTATCTGTGTTTTGTACATTAACCTGAGAACAATTTATTTTGAATTTTTACCTCTTTTTGGGGAACTACCAGGATGTTGATCTGGAATTTGTCTGTAAATGTATCTTACTTCTCAGATCCTTAGATAAAAAGTTGATTTCCATGTCCTTCCTGCAAGCTTAATTTCTTACGCAGGCCTACTTCTTGACTAACTTGCTTTTTTTATTCTCCAGCTTGACAGTGCACTTTGATAGTATCAATAAAAAGGCCAATGCATTTCTTGTTAGCTCACGTTTTTAAGACTGAGCATCCCAGATAAGCTGCAGCCATTTAAGCTAGGCAAAGACTACTGCCTGGTAATGGACTGCTGAAGGAAATTGTTCTTTTTGCTGTTAACAGTTGGACTTGAAAGTGACCAAAGATGGGGAAAAGTATTTCAGAAGGTGACGCTCTACATGAAAAATGAGGATAGAATAAGGATTATTTTCATGAGTTAATTATATAACAGGGATTTGGGGTATTCAACAGAGAAATACTATGGCATTTAAAGAGAAAAAAAAGTTAAAAAATTGTACAAATGACTTGGCCAGGAAATGGCCACAGCTGAGACAAAGATAAGATGTATGCCTGACTTGTAAAGCAGAAAGAATGGCAACAACTTATGGTAAAAATTACACATTTCCTGCATGGTGTCATGATGTGAAAGGCAGTTATGGATGTATGAATTGTAAGTGTATGCACAGATATTAATATGTAAGGGTGTAAAGAATGATACTAATTCAGCAATTAAAGTAGAACCAACAAGGAAGGCCTCATTTTCGACAAGTATCCTCCAAGATCTTGCCAGTGTGAGTTTCTGAGACACGGATCCACCACCTTGTCAATCTATTTGGCAAAATAGTTTGGAGGAGGGGGTCCAAGGAGGATCTTCCATGGAATTGTGGAGCTCACTGGTGCAATTTCATGTATTTTTAGAACTTTTTAACATATTGTCCTCAGGAGGGAGATGGCCTTTTAGATTTGTTCAGGTGTTCATCACACAGGGGCCCTGATTCACGAGAGGGCTCAGAGAGCTCTGAGGGCTTTGCTATATAAACAATTTTGCACAGAGTAGGAAGCCATCTTTTCTATGATAATAATTTTACATGAATGCTTCTAGCTTATGATGTCCTAGGGAGATTTTCTACCTTTCCTGCATTAGTGAATATGCTACCCTGAGTTATAGTACTTTTGCTGTAGTTAGTCTCAGTGGGGTGGGAAAGACTTTACAAATGATTAATCCATTAAAGGTATGATTGCCATATAAATCCTTTTTAAAGAATAATATTTATATCAGTCCACTTGTCGCTAAGGCAGTTTGCAAACAAATACCATCTCAACAATTGTGTGTGGAATGCTTGTGAAAAATTATATTAAAGAGCTACCATACCACTTTACTATTAAGCAGTTCCTGCTCTATGGCTGTGGTGGTCTTCACTTCAGCACTTGAATTGTAAGCTTTGATGAAGGGTGCCCTGAGGATGTATGCACACATCAATCATTTGTCTGCAGAAGGATGTGGGAGCATGGGCATGCTACTCAGCCTCCTTGGAGCCAGAGCCTCCTCCAGGACCTCCAGCATCTTCCCTGCCAAGGCACTCCCTGAATGAACAGGACTTTAATAGGATTATTCTTTTGGCTATGTGCTGGTAACCGCAGCATGGGCCTCTATTTGAGCAAGTCAACACAGCCTCATGTTATAGACAGTACAGAGCTAGTCAGTCAAGTCATGTCAGGGTATGATTCATGTCTTGCTCAAGTAGGCACCAGCATAATCGGGCAGGAGTTAGACGAACTGCGTCCTAAATTCCCCTCACTCTGATAACCAAACCTCCACTGATTATGGTGGGAATCTGGACAGCTCACCCAGCTGTAGACATCTGTGCTGTAGATAGTTAATGCCAAGTGAAATGAACCCTACCCATTCAGGCAATATCTGATCATCTTCTCAGTTGGCAATGAAAAGGGAAGTTTATAATCTGATTTCAAAGTGGTACAGAAACATTTAGTATCACAGTACCGTAGTATTGCATTGTTTAACCTTGGCTCAGAGAATATTCTCCCACTTCTCCTATTTATATGCTTTTTTTCTTACCAAGTTCCCACTTCAGACTCCCCTCAATGGTGGATGTGTAGACCCTATGAAATGAAAAGGTCTAGATGGAAACACACTGTCCACAGAGTTTTGGAGGCAGCTGCTATATATACACAGTCCCTGTACCTCTCAGTGCTTCTGACACTTTCTGATATATGCAGGATTCAACTTAAATCCATATCTTCTGCTTGTTTCTTTTCTCCCTCGTTAGATTTTTTTTAAAATTAATATAGTACAAGCATACTTTGAAGGTGGATTTTATTTTGACTTTTGAGAATAACACGTGCCTATAACATATTATTGCTAAGGTCTGAAAAATGATTAGATTCTATCTGTCCTGGATATATAATAACCATCTTGAAGTAAGTTGCCAAAGAAACCTTTGATATTTTTATGACTTCTTTGTTGAAACTTGCAACAGCCCATGAATTAAAAAAATGTCTATCAGATCAACATAACTTCTTTCTACAAGATTGATGCTACCCTACCTAAAAAAGTACTGACTCCAGGCCAATACAAAGCACGGAATGGGTGATTGACAAATGAGAATATGATTGTTTTGGCTCATCCTCTACAACAATGGCAGTCTCTGGTTACAGTTAAGATGTAAGATACTAGGCTGCTAAACAGGCACTCAACTAGTTTTCTCAGTACTCAGCAGTACTTAAACATTTTTGGCTTTGACTCTTTCTATGGAGACTTTGTATTGGGTTTTCATGTTTTCTGTTTTCTTCTGAGACAGAAGAATTTTGCAGGTCTTGCAGTAGTGATTTAGTTAGATGTGATGAGGTTCAGGTCTGCAGCTGAAGTGGATTGCTTGATCTCAGGTGTTGTCAAGGGTTCAGCGTCATCAGGATGGGCTAATTCTTGATCCTGCCTGAATTTCAGGTTTGTAGTACTTCTGTTAGCCCTTTCATGTCCAGCGAGCTCCTTTATAAATACATATTGGATTTGTTAATCTTAGTTACTTTCTTACTGATTAATCAGAACTCAATGTTTGTTGCTCATAGAGGTATTCTTTGCAAATATATACACAATTTGTATAAGATATCATTTTAAATTATAGCTGGAGACTGAGCACTGTTTGAAAGAATGAACTACCTCTTTATCTAGCAGCTGTGCTGTTGAAGAGACTGTAAAACCTTTTGCAGTAGTTTAGAATTTTGAAGATGGGGGAGGAAAAGTTTTCTCAGTGGAGTCACGTAACACTCCGCCCTCTGTGAAGCACAAATTAGTACGGTATGACTTACATTTTTTAATTCATAAAATAATAGTTCTGAAATCTACTCAAGCAAAATTCCTGTGAAAGTATCCTATTGTCTCTGGCTTTCCTGACCTAAGTGAAAGCATCAGAAAGGATAATTTTAACACTGATTTTGCCATTGTAATGTGATCTGTTCCTCTGCAAACATTAACAAGAAGAAATGTAATTGTTGAAACAGGCACCTGTGGAGATCAGTATATCCAGAGGAGTGAAAAGACTTTCCATTCTTCTTTAACACTTTTGATTTAAAGATTAGGTGGCAGTCTTTGCTAAGACTCCTTCAAGGAAAGAAATATGTGCTGACATTAAGTTGGTATAAGAAATCAAATAATTTGTACTTTTGTCCTTTTAATTGTAAAATCTGGGTATCTCTCAGCCACATACATAATTGTAGAATGGAAATATAAGGGATCATTTCTGTTTAGAAAATAATTAAGAAAAAATCTGAAATGTTAAAATATTTTTTAAAATATTTTAAATGCCTTTTCAGAGTGACTTTTGTTTCAGATATGCTTCTTTGTATTTTTTTAAATTGCATTTAAAATGAATCCAAAGTTTTATTAATCAAATATTGAAAGATGGGGAAGTAATCTGAAATCTCACCATTTCCCTGTGAAGCAATTCATTCCCCAATAATTTTTATTTGTTATAGAGTTAGTTTAGTCAGCTATACTCTGATAAATGCCACTTTTAATTAACCTCTTTGCAAATTATAATTCCCACTTACAGAATTAGTGGGAGAACTCTCTGTATGTGACCTTTAAGGTACCTCACTGTGTAAAAGGAAAGGAGGATTTTAAATGTGTGCAATGAAGGTGACAAAAACTTGCAATGTGAAAAATAAAATACAGGTTTTACAAAACAACTGAGTTCATTCTGAACTATGTGTTTAGCGCAACTACATATGCTGTTTCAAGTAACTGAAAGGAACCTCCGTGAGCATTGGGATGAGTAGTGCCATGTCATATGTGTTCTCCCGTGGGGAGCCATTTTTTAAATTGTTAATTCAGTCTTCAATATTTGCCAGTTCAAAGATCCAAATGTTCACCTCTGAGAAACTTAGTTTTAAAAATCTTTATTTCTGATTCATAAAATGCACATTGTTACAAAAATTAAAACTAATCACCTCTTTCTGTTTCCCTCCTTAAAGAGCATATGGGTTAGTACCTATGTGTTTACAATATGCTTTGCTGCTAACGTGGGACTGTTGTACGGCGTTGTCTGCACTATAGTAATTGTGATTTTCCGCTTTCCCAGGTGAGAAACAATTTATTGAAATGTTCTAGCAGCACATCGTTATGTCCTCTTTCTGGCATATTGCTTCACAGTCAGGATAGATATACAGGATACTAAATTTAACAATGAAACTTCAGATTTTTAGTTGCAGAAAATTACAAGATAAGACAATTTAAAAGGAAAAGTCACACCTGTGCATTTACTGTAGGCTAAGGATCTCTAAAACATTCCATACTATGGCATTATTTTGTAATTTCTCTTAGTATTAGACATCTGTATGACTCATTAGGTGGAGTTAGCATAAGATCAACAGAAAGATCAAGAGTATAATTTTTTTCCATTAGATATTTATTTGTTCCTTAAGGAGAAGGTATGACTGACAAGCCTTAGTAACTAAGCACCTTTATAAACTCCTAGATACCATGTTGCACAGGAGTTGATAGTTGACATTTGCACTGCTAATATATATTAAACATAACTGCACAACTATTCTAATGTCTCATGAAAGGTATAAATTCTATGTATGAATCAGAAAAGCCAGGACAAAGAAACTACAGCAGACACAAATTCATATATTCTTTTATATATATTACAGTTGCTACTTTGGATCATGAGTAAAGGAAAATATCAGCTGAGGTTCACGATCATTTTGTGCTACAAAACTAATGCATAGCTCGCCATTCCTGGAAATGACTTGCTGCTTGCAGGCAGTTGTTTGCATGAACACTGAATCCCACTGGAATTAAGCACAATATAGGCAGGTCAATTTAATGTGTGTTAAAGTTAGTGGTGTTAACCATTTGTGCATAGCTCTGTTCTCATACAATAAGTTGCAGAACCAGCGTGAAGATAGCTCAAAACTGAAAGGCAATTACAAATTATGGAAGATGGTTTCTACTTGAATCAATCAGTACCTTTTTGGTAGCCTTCTGCTATTCAGCGATCTAAAATTTCTTTAAATTCTGGTAAAGGAAAGGCAAGTTTTCCTGTTGTTTGCACCCTGTGCCTGGATGTCTGAGGTTCTCAACAGCAGAAAGGGAGGGATATCTGACACAAAAGAGCATGATCCTCTGTTTTCTGATCCAACAGAGACCTCAGTCTGAACCTGCACTAATTAAAGTAAATAAGACTCTTCCCAGTGATTTCTGTGGTCTTCAGTCAGGTTGCACATGATAGTCTATTCAACCTAAAGACACTGAACAAGCTAATAGCCTTAAAATCTGTACTGCACAGATGAGGTTAGCAAGAGAACATGTAGTAAGCCATCCAGTTGTGGGCAAAAGCGTCAGCAAAAGTGAAGCAAGAAAAATACCATAGATGATTTATTGTGAAGTTTCTGTTCAGATGCCAGAGTATTGGACGTGGTACATGTTATGTATCAGAATGTATTAAAACCAGCAGCAGATACAGCCCGATTTATGCAAACAGGAGAGAACAGCTGACTTTTGCAAGCCTCATTTAGCCAACCCCAGTACCTGCAAATACTCCTTGCACATTGACGCATCTATTCGATGTTTGTATTCTGGGATTATTTCCATTGCCTAGCTTTAGGCACAGAGCTCAGATGATAGCTAACTTCATAGTCGTCTTGTTTTGCAGTTAAATGTGTTCCTGCAAATGATGTATTGAAGCAGAAGGTCCTACACTGAGCTGCCTTTTCAAGCCAACTTTCTCTTTCCCAGTGAAGTCCCCCACTTTGATAGCTACAGTGCGGTGTTCTGCTTCATCATACAAAGATGTGCTGATTTTAATAACAAATAAAACATCCTTAGTTTTTATGACCCATAGCTATTTTTTTTCCTTTCCTTACAATATAATTTTGCAGGTAAAAAGTATTAATTAAACCTTTGTACTTCTTAAGCTGTAGCTTATATATTAGCTACCTTGACTTGAGAATAGTCTTTGGCCAGCTACAAAACAGTAATGAAATTTAAAATTAAGATTTTTATTTACCAAAAATTTCCATTATTCATATTTTCAAAGTGATATAATTTTAAAATGTGCTTTTTACTCTTTAACTAGATCATTATCACAAAAAATAAGCTCTATATGCATGAAAATACATACGGATTGCATCGTCACCACTTTAAATTTCTATGCTGTAGTTTTGGGGGGTGTGTCTTCCTGTTTCTGTTCAAGACTACTAATGATTTGCCTTACAGATTTTCTCTGTGTATTGATTACAGAGCAAAGACACTGAATTTGAAAAATGTGAAAGAAGTGGAATATAAATACAAAACAGAACATAATTGTGTAAGTTATCTTTTATGTGTGTCTGTGTGTTTGTTCCACTAATTCAGTTTTGTTTGTTTTCTCTAGTTGGTTACCAGATTGTAATCAGTGAATCAATGAAACATTTTTACGATATAACCACTTGAAATCTAAAGCCAGTATGACGTAGTAAATACAAAACTAGTCTGGGCCTCAGAAATTGGAATATTTTCCTGGTTCTGCTGCTGGTCTGCAAAGTGAAGTTAGGCAAGTCCTCTTAGATCTGTCTATCTTAGTTTATTTGTTACTTTTAAGTTAGGAATTGCTCTTTGTAAAAATTTCCTAAGTCTAAGGAAACTTCCTGGCAGCAAGGGCCATCTGCGCAGACAAGAGCTGTCTCTATATTCTTATCAGATTTCCTCATTTCCTGAAAGTTCTTTGATATTCTTATCATCCACAATCTCTTTTCTGACCCCTTTTCTTCCACCAGCCCCTTGGGATCGGACTGTCCCAGAGGACACCGAGTGAGGCTGGGGAAAGAGGGACAGCAGCATGAAGTTGTCACAGACTAACTCACGTGAAAAATGGATGGAAGAATCTCTCCCAAAGACTGTGCTTTTGAAATTTGGCTTCTTACAAACTTAAACCCACTAGTCAGAGATTTTAATTCTTTCAGTTATTTTCACTGCAATTATCATGAAGTTGCTTGTGGTCAGGTCTATGGTGAGAAAAGAAGGGAAATGACCCAGAGAGGTGAACTCCCTCCTCCGAGATGAAATGGTAGGTCAGCAGCCGAGAAGGTAGGACCACGTGTCCTTTCAGCACTGAGTCCCCTCATGAGCACGTCCTGCCTTCTCCGCTGTGGCAGTTTCTACTATGTCCTCTTTCCTTTCCTAATGCTTATGAAGGGTCTTATGTATCAGTAAGCACCATGCTCAGCAGTTATTACCTCACCATTAAGAAGCTCTCCTCTAAAGAATTTATTTTTTTCTGGCAAATGTTTTCCATCAGAGCTATCTTGGGCTCAAAATCTGGACTTGGCGCAGGGGCGTTTACTGTTTTGGCATGCTGAACAATGCTGGAATGTGAAAGGTACATGAGAATAGGGAGGACTCTGAAATGTGAATTAAAAACACTGCTGTTGAGGCTGGCCCAGCTGTCAATTATTATATCACATTTCATTCTTAAGAAAAATTTTAGAGTAACTTTGTCAGAGATGGGTAACCAAAATTTGGTTTGCCTGCTTCTTTCTGTATCAGTTCATAAAATATTTTGTACAAATCCTTATGCGTCTGTTTTTTTAAGCAAACTGCTCCCCTGCTTTTTTTCCTTAATCATTAAGATTAACGCCGTTAACCAAGTAATAACAAACTAGTGTCTGCAGACAGTGGGGAAAATAACACTTTGTTAAGAAAGCAAATTGCTCAAGAGCTTATTACACAAAACAAAGAAGGAAAATATTTTTAAGCTTTAGAAAAATGCCTTTAATTGAATTTAGAGTCACTGGTTTGCAGCAGGCATTTAGGGTAATTTTTAATGTATGAATGTTAGACTGATCCAAGTTCCCCTGGTAAATAACAGCTTAGACATAAACAACAGGACCTTTAAACATGAAAATATGCAAGCTTAATGATCTACCCTGCCATTAAGGTCTGTGGATTTATAGGGGTTATTTCATCAATAGGAGAAAAGACACTTTAATATGGAAAAAATCAAGAGGTTATTTAGAAGCTTATGTGAAATACATTGCATCATAGGTGTTCACTGAACTAAACTCTTACCCAAGCATAGACAGTGCTGTACAGAGTGCACGGGGCAATTGCTGGTATCCTTCTAAGTGACAGTGGGGATAGGACACCTGAGATAATTTCCTTTCTTTCTCAGCAAGGACACAACAAAGAGGAAGTCCATTTTTCTCAGAACAGTTCTTATTAAGAAAGGAGCTAGAACCAAACCAGAGCCAGGAATAACTGAGCCAAATTTGGCACAATTGTCCTTGCCCATCCTGGACAAAAGATTATACCTAAGTCTGACATCTGCTTGATCTGGCCTTACGATCTGAGCCTTTCAAGTTTTCCACCTTGTATTTTTGGAAGCTTATTAGCTTTTTGATCATCACAGGCTTTGATCTTTGCACATTAGTCTTCCTTTTTTCTTAATTTTCATCTTCCACTTTGCCAGTCCTGGTGTGGTACCAAAGTACTTACTTGTCTCCAAACCAAGCTGAGTGTAGCATAGTTTTTATGGGAATCTGTGGGATGTCGGAGTATTCTCTATTCAAGCACATATTGCCCCCTGTTTTGCCCTTATTTTAGAACTTTCTTTTGTATAATCTTAGCCATTTTAATTGCCAGTTAGGCTTTGCCACTTGACTGACCAAGGTTTGTTGGTGATGTGATATTTACCACAATCATATTCATAGGTAAATTGTGCAAAGTCCCTATACATAGTCTGGGGTTCATTGCCTCAGTTTTGGATGTTTAAAATGTTTCCTTGGTCTGTATGATGGTTGCTGCGGTGGTGTCTGAGAGATCGTCTGGTTCCCAGAAGTCTGAATAACAGTCTACAATAAGGAGGTAGTTTGTGTGGTTTGTGGTGAAGATTTCCATTCCTGTTTTGCTTGAAGGCTGTTGGGAAAACTGCATATCTTCAATGCAATCGCATGCTTTTTTGAACTACTTAAAAAATGGTCTGTGTCAGCTCTGCTTACTTTTGTTTGAGCGTGACCTTGTTAGATGTCTCTGACTTTTGTTAGGAAGAAGAGAGGCTTTCTGAACCTGTATTCTCTTGTGAATTCTTAGTTTTTACTTCCTGTTACCCATTGTCACAAGTAATTAATTTTTGAGAGCTGATACTCACATAAATCAGGTATTTTATTTCAGTAGGAAATGGATATTTTCTGTATCCAGACCCCTTTTTGCACTCAGTAATAGGATACTTTATTGCATACAGCACTTCTGTGGACTGAAATCCTTTTTGAGAACTTCTTGGAATCAGATGTGTTGATCTGCCCTCATGGTCTGCTGAGGCTTAATTCTACCTAACTACAAAACCAATACTTCAGCTGAGCTTGTGATTGTTGATATCCAATATACTTATATAATAGTGCCTGTTTTGTGGGAAATGTTCCCCACTGGTACGTGGAGATTTCTGAGCTTTAGCTGATGTCCTTCAGAAATCGTTCTGCTGTGTAACATCTTTTGAGCTACACAGTTTCATTGAAGGTACCTGGTGAACTGGTTGAAACTTATTCGAGGAAGTGCAGGGACGGGATTGGGGGTGGCTGATGGTACTCGTAGAGATTATTGTGTTGGTTGTAGATATGTGCTGGCAGAGTTTTAAATGTATCACTCAAGCTTGGTCTGGATCCACTAAGTACTTCCATGGAGAAATAACCTCTTGTATTAAAGTCATCTTCAGATGATCGAGATGAATATTTTCAGCGTTCCCCAAACCACCTGCAGTGTTTGCCCCAAAACCTTGTGTACTATTTCCAATACACGTGTTTGTCTAATAAAAGATATTCCCTGTCTGCAAACCTTGTCTTGCCTATGTTTGGGGATCCTAACTACTGAAACAGTGCTACTACTATTTGCCAGGTAATATTTCTTAGTATAATGCATGGTAATGAATATGATTTTTCTTTCATGCTAACTTGAATTAAGGATCATTTTCCTTATACGTCACTTATATTTCGTTTTTTACTTCAGTTGTGTGTGAAGACTGATGAAGACAGTTATCTGTTAAATCCTTCTCACAGGTTCTCAATCACATTCTCAATAGGTTGATTTACAGGAATTTTCAGGATTTTTAAAGAAATTAGTTTGGTTTTTAGTCTTCAAACCCAAGATAACCTTTTCAGCATAATGTTTATTTCATTCCACAGGAATCATTAAAACAGGTAAAGATAGTTTCAGTCAACAACCCGTTAGTCTTTCTGAATGCCAGAAAATTTCATGCTGACCTGATAAAGATAATCCAAAAGGATAGCACAAGCAGCCAGGCATGTGAAGATGTAAACAAGGTAGGATGTGCTATATGCTTCAGTAATCACGGTGACAGTGTTGAAGATCATGATTGCTTTCCTTGCATTTCTTAGAGAATGCAATCAGATACTGAAACAGATATAAAAAGATAATATTGCAAATGATTAATTTAGGATAGAATAAAGTTAATCCTTATCTTCATCAGATTCAATATGAATTCTTTTCATATTATTACTTGAAAAGAATATCTCTACTATTTCTGCATACGATCCTGTAAGAGACCTTAAAGCACTGATTCAAAACTCTTCAAAATTTCTGGCAGAACTTACATAACCTCAACTAATATAAGGTTGTGATTTTAAAAAGACAATGAGTAGCTACAAGTCTACTTGAATAAAATGTGATTTTTTTTGCTGGAGATGAGTCCATGAGAGATAGACATTTCTGTTTCTAACTATAAATAATTCCAGGAGAATTAGGAAGAAGGTACAAATTGGCTAAAGTTTTTCTCAAAGATAGTGTTTCTTTTTAATTTTCTGCACTGATTGTATTGGAAAAATAAACAGTGTACAAATTATACATAACTCAGTTTTGGAGAAAATGTCCATAAGTTCAGTATTTTTTGAGTTTATCTGCACATAACTACTGCAACTTCCTACAGCTCTCTCTAAAAGGGAAAAAAGAAATCTTATTATTTTTCTATCATTACAGTGAAGTCATTCCAATACCATACAATGCTTACTGTAGGCAATTTCATCCAGTTTAGCAAATTGGGCTGAGACAACCACAGCCATTTCTTAGATGGGTTGTTAAGACAGTGTTCAACAATGTGTGTCTTCCACCTCTGCTGCCTCTTGCCAAAGAGCTGTGCTACTCGTACCTACTTTGGATGAGTGGCTTCCCCTCGTTGTTCAGAAATTCAGCTCAGAAACTGTGCTGCCTCTTTCCCTTGGTCCTGCTAGACTAACTGATTTGGATTAATATGATAACAAACTCCCAAACAGAGAGAAATTACTTAGGATTTGCATGGAATTAATTTATGAGTTAACTTAATAAGTGTAAAAGTTAATAAGTGTAAAAGTTAATAAGTTAATTTCAAAGTTACTTAGGAGGGAGATTTTATCCTTTGTCTCTTCTGTAAGGTACCTGAAAGTACAGCTGCCTGAAATACCGTGCATAAATTTTATTTTGTGGAATAAAGGTCTTTCTGTAGCACATAATGGGAGTGAAAAAAAATTGCACTTTGGATTTTTTTTTCTGTGCTCTATTTCTGGTTTTAATTCATGTTTCTACTGAGAACTTAACATTCATATTGAAATAATTATAAAAAAATTCTCCAGATAAAGGTAATTCTTTAATAAATTTACATGTCAAAAAAGTTCTCACTAAAATATTAGTGTAGCAGATGAGATTGCAGCAAGTAGAAAATTAATCAAAAGTTAATCTTATGAAATCAGTGACTATAATTTATCTTTTCAAGAACATCTTTCCCATCTTTTGACCACTTCTTAACCAACCCCTGCTTCCCCCAAAACATCATGTTTATAATATGCTTTCAAGTGGATCCAAACATGACAGAGGTTGAGTCATCTAAAAAGAAAAGCAAAGTATCAGTTTGGTATAACTTTAGAAGAATACTGAGAGACATACTCAGCAAATACTATATATCCACCAAGCTGTACATAGAAAAAGATTTTGGAGAGAAGGAGTTAACTTTGATATTGAGAAACAGAATTCTTATGTATTGCATTGATTTTCTCTGGTTACTATGCATTGGACTAGTTTTCCTTGGTATGTTAATGTTTGTTGGTTTTATTTCAGTGTGAGCAGAACACATTGCTCTGTTCATTTTCCAATGGAAGTTGTCATGGTGAGTTTATTATCTATAAATGATATAAAAACCAAGGTGGATGTAAGTGTGCAAAATGGCTGAACACTTTTCTATTTATTTCTAGGTGAAGTCAAGTTGTCTGGAAACTAATATTTTCAGTTAGACCAAACATTCAATGAAGCATGAGTGCTAAACAGTGTTAACCTCTGTTAAACTTGGCCTAGCGAGTGCTATTTTTATTCTGTTCTTGACTGACTTTTTAAGATTTCAAAAGCAGGGAACCCATGAAAATACCTTTTCTGCAGGAGTCCCTGCATATTTCACAGGAACCACTGTGTGCTTACTGAGACAGGTAGGCAGTAAGGGGAACCACTTCCTGCGTTACTGTCTGGATTGGTCTTCAGACAAATGCCTAGAAGGCTGTTTTGCTAATCTCTGGTCTTGGGTTTTTTGCATTTACAGTGGGACTTGAATATTAGTATGCAAAAGTAAAAATAAGATTAGAGCCATGTTAGATCTTTGTGATCTTTAAAGCCACTTAGGTGAAAATCTCAGAAAATGTCAATTGAATTATCAGTGACACAATGGCCACCAATATTGTACAGTATACCAACACAGTATAGAATAAAGAAGAAAACCTAAGGGTTTGTTTTCAAATAAGGATTAAGCTGGATAATTCCACTCTTCCCACATTTTATAACACTTAAATCAAACCACAGCACATGCATTCCCATGGGAGAGCTGCAGCAACCTTTTGCAGAAGATACTTTATACAGATGACTTCATTGTAGATGGAATTAAAACACTGTGTTTATTTTAAACACTTATAAGCATTAAGGCTACAGTAGAGAATCTGATTTGGAGGCTGTTGTCTGAATGTTTACATTTATTAACTAGACTCGTGACATTTTTATGATACTACAGTGTTTAGTTTACTTGGGGGTGACAGAGTGCTTTTGCTGTAACACATAGCAACATAATGATAATGGCTACTGAAGACTATACAGCGCTATGCGGTAAAATACTAAAAGAGTCCACAGCACCCTATGTGTGAGAAGATCTTGCCAGTACATATTTCAGTATTCTTTGGATGAACTGGCTTCTCATGTTACAGAAATGACAGACAGCACAAGACCTCTTTTCTGATTGCTTAAGTCCTGACTTGAGGACTTAAATGCTGTGTTGTTCCTTGTACAAACCAGTCTATGGTGACTGTTCATGGGGGCTTTAAAATAAAAAACAGAGAGAAAAAAGAAAAATCCTTATAAAAGAAAAACAAAATGTGGTGCTTAAATTTTCAGGAAGGAGGGGAGCAGGAGGATATAAACCTTAATCCTTACGGCAGTCGTCCTGGAAAGCACGGCAACTTACATCTTTGTCAAAACGTTTCCTTCCTCCCTCTGGGGAAAACTGATTTGCCATTGGTCTGTATCAGCACCACATTAAACAGCTGCTGTTGCCCTTGCCACTGGTTCAGAGAGGGAGCGGGTCTGTAGCTACCCCCTCCATTTAGGAACCAGGCAGCCTCTACTGCAATGCAGGATGCCAGCTGGGTGGGAAGGTAGCAGGAGTAAGTGACAGGGAGAAAGACTGAGTTCTTTTGGTTTGGAGGCAGAGGAGGTGTGTAGAAATGATGACAGTGAGCAGCCTAGGAGATCTCGTAAATCCTTTCTGGGTTTCCATCATAGTAATGTCAGGCAGGAGGTTTCCTTTAAAATTCTGTATTTTTGTTTAGTATATATCTATTAATGTACGTTGGACAGTACAAAGACAGTAAATCTCTGGAGATGCAAGTCCAAAAGGCTCTGGCTCTCAGACTACTGTCAGAAAGGAATTAACACCATTATAAATCTATACCACGGGGAAATTCTAAGTCCTCTCAAAAGTTTAAAATATTTACCTCAGCACCGTCAAAACCATTTAGCTCAACCTATCTTTACATTCAGAATTCCTTCCTTTGTACTTTTTTTTTAGTTTTGTGCATTATGATAACTAACATTTGTTCACAGAGTAAAGTAAATAAGATGTGTGTTATTTTCTAGTTTTCACTTTATGAAAGCCAGGAATCATTTATCTAGATGCTAGTACAGGATGCATTTAGTACAGAGTATGCTTAATTTAAGCACAAGATGGCCTGAGGTTGAAGAATGAATAGAAGACCTTCGCAAATCTTACCAACATCTTTTCTCCAGCATCAATATGCAATAGTATATAAAAAATTAACCAAACAAAAAATAGCAGAGTAAAACCTTAGGAAAGTGAAACACTCCACTTTTTACATATTTTTCTTCCTTGTGGGTGGATATTAGTTAAGCCATAGGCAGGTGTTTAGGTGCTACAGAAATGAATGTTGTATCAGAACTTAAAAGAGAGATATATTCTCTGTGTATCCCATGTAAACTCTTCCAAACAAGCCAAGATATTATCCTGACTCATTTAGAAATTCAAATCTGAAGAAGGAATTCTTTAATTCTTCAGATACTATTTCTGTCTGTCATGGTTTAACCCCAGCCAGCAGCTAAGCACCACACAGCCACTTGCTCACTCCACCCACCCCTAGTGGGATTGGGGAGAGAATTAAAAAAAAAAAAAACAGTAAAACTTGTGGGTTGAAATAATAGGACAGAAAAGGAAGGGAAAATAATAATAATAGTAATAATAATAATATACAAAACAAGTGATGCACAATACAATTGCTCACCACCCGCTGACTGATGCCCAGCAAATCCCCGAGCTGCAGTGTCCCCCAGCCAACTCCCCCAGTTTATATACTGGGCATGACGTAATATGGTATGGAATACCCCTTTGGCTCATTTGGGTCAGCTGTCCTTTCTGTGTCCCCTCCCAGTTTCTTGTGCACTCCCAGCCTCCTCTGGCAGGGCAGTATGAGAAGCTGAAAAGTCCTTGACTTAATATAAACACTGCTTAGCAACAACTAAAACATCAGTGTGTTATTAACATTATTCTCATCCTAAATCCGAAACACAGCACTATACCAGCTGCTAGGAAGACAATTAACTTTATTCCAGTTCAAACCAGGACACTGTCTAAAACATCTCACTAATAATACATTCTGTCTGTCATCACTTCATCTCATTGCTCTGAAGGTCCTTCATTTGTGCTTCTAAAATGTGTCATTTGGTTGACTGATACTCCAGAATAATAGTAGAATTTTTATTGTGATAGTTTGGGCTTATTTCGTTGAATTATCATTATTCTTACATGCATTCCTTGACTATTCTCCATTTTAATTAAAGTTTTTCATTTATCAAATGTGTAGGTGAGTCGTTGCAGTCATGTCACAGTGAGCGACGTGTTTTGATATTAGACTGCAGTGGACTGAATTTCTTTGACTACACTGGAGTCTCAGTGCTGCTTCAGGTATTCATGACATCAGACAAATTCTGTACATAGAAATACGATTACACATATGAGTTATTGGGGCCAACTACTAGTCACCTCATATATCAGTGGATAGACATGTCACTCGTGGACAAGATTAACACAGATTTGGTATTAAACTGCACTGTATTTATATATAGAATTATATAAAAAAACAATTGTAAAGATTTTGGGTGACAGTGCGAATGTAAATATCTGTATGTAACAGATCAGTTTCTGAACCTTCTATTTTTTTCCAATTTTAAAGTTATTTTAGGTCATATTTGGCCCTGTCATGTCAGTTGCAGTGGAGCCAAGTGTAGATTTACCCCTTTAAAACTTCAGCTTTTAATTCTGTGATTTTATCTGTATGTACTGCTTTCTGCTAACCCAGTGGTCTTAATGATCTCCATGTTTTCTCCTGTGGGTTACATATCTAGCAGGCTGGATTCCTCAGGCATTGCAGGAGCTCCAAGAAGCTCCTGGAAGACTGAAACCAGTAACCACTGGTTACTCTGGTGAATGGAGTTAGATCCAGTTGGTGGCTGGTCACAAGTGGTGTTTCCCAGGGCTCAGTATTAGGGCCAGTTCTGTTTAATATCTTTATCAATGATCTGG